CATTGAAGCTGATCATGGGTAGCATACAGGACAAATGGTCCAAAATGGTCAAGGATACTTGGTCAGACAAAATAGCACCAAGTCTAGCTTATGTTGCTGTTCAGCTTTCTGCACCAGACATACACAAGGTTACAAGGACCATTATAGAAGCTGAAGCAGCATTAAATAGTAGAAAGCAGTGTACCGTATGTATTGAAACTATGGATGCTGCACTGCAACTCAACGAGTTTAAGATGAAGATCGGATACAATGTAAATCATTATAGTCGGGGAGCTTTCGATATGGCTCTATGTGGCATGGCTTTTGCATCGGTTGAGGAGGTAGATGGCAACTATCAGATTGTACGAGATCTTCGTAATCTTCTTATCCTCATTAGGCTGTACCATAAGAGCATGTTCGAACCGAGCAGTGACGATGTTAAGAAGCTGAGAGAAAAGCTGGCAGTTGAACTGGGACAATTTAGTTTGATCCACTATGAAAATGGATATAAGGTGAATACCGCTTTGGTTAGGCAATGCGGATGCATTGGTGATGGGGACTGGAAAGTTATGAAAGCTCAGCTGTGCGTATCTTTGCTGCTCCAGGCTCACGATCAGCCTAGAGAGGGAGAGAACCTCAGTTTCACAGCAGTGATGCTTTGGATGGAAAAGAGGAAAGTTCTTCATGCAGAAGTCGACATTCCTGCGAATGAGGTTCAAGCGTGAAGACCTCCAAAATTGTGTGCAAGATTTGACGAAGTTCTTATCTCAATTTTGTGGCGACCTGCTACAGCTTTGGTTGAACACATAGACGTATTTGGCTAGAGTTCGAGAATTCACCTGCAGCAATTATCTGTTTTTTGACAAGTTTTCTGCCTCAAATTTCTGGTACTTGCCACCCGAATGAGATCAGCTGACCATGCGGAAAGAAAGACGTCAAGTTGCTCTTCATGCTCTTCAAGCACACCACCTTGATGTTGGTTATGTTCAGGCTTCCAGAACTTGCCAGAAGCAAAGCTGAGTTCATCGACCAGAATAATGGATGGGCCAACGGCCTGTGGCAACAAGTTTAATAATGTTGATTCAACACAGCAAATATAACTTGTCTTTGAAGGCATCGAGCTCATAAGACCAAAAGTTTTGTGACGACTTAAGTTAGAGAAATTTTTGTCACTGCCTCGTGTAATGAAGGTTTTTCCATGGTGAAGCGCAGCTGCTGTAGTGGTAGTACCGTCCCACCTCATCCGGATGGTTTACGCGGCGTTCTTGTTGCTAACGCTCGCCACCATGGTTACCATCTTGTGCCTGTGATTGAGGAGAGTACCAACAAAAAGAGTCTCAGGAAATCTTGATTGATTGGCTCACGCATCTCACTCCATCGAACTAGAATGTTCTTATGATCCACGGCACAAGGAAATGCTGCCAGAGATTCGTGCCCAGCTCAGCCGCGGAGATCGATCGCCTTGATAATCTCGCAACACACCTCTTCGACCAGACCAAGACCCAAGACAAAGATCCCAACAATGATCCCGACGAAGAACAAGAACGTTTGTTGGCCTCGATCATCCGCGACTGTGCCGCTACCCAATCCCTTCCGCTCTGCAAGAAGATCCACGCCACCATTGCCAGAGATCACCGCTCCCACCTGTTTATCAGCAATCTCCTCATCGAGGCTTACTGCCGATGCGGCAGCCTGGACGATGCCACCACTGTGTTTGGCCAAATGCTCGCCCACAAGAATGCGGTGTCGTGGACTCTCCTGATCGCAGCAAGTGCCCGCAAGGGGCATTTGTCCCGTGCGTTCCACCTCTTCCAATCCATGCAGCTCGAGGGCGTCAGGCCCGATCGAGTGACCCACCTCACGATCCTGAGCGCCTGCTCGGATCCGGTCGCGCTGCCCGTGTGCCGATCTATCCACGCGCAGCTCACCGGCATGGGCTATGGATCGGAGCCCGGATTCATCAAATCCTATAGCATGTGTGGCGATCTTGCCGCTGCCAGGGACGCCTTCGATCGAATCGCTCCCAAATCCGTGTCGTGCTGGAACGCGATGATGATCGCCTACGCGGAGAGGGATCTCCACGAAGAGATTTTGGAGCTCTACCGGCGAATGGATGCCCGCCCAAACGAAACGACCGTGATCCATGTCCTGCGCGCGTGCTCGGCGCTAAAGAACAGCACAGTGGGCAAACTCGTCCACAAAGAATCCTCGCAGATCGGGCTGGATGCCGACATCTTCGTCGCGAATTCCATCCTTACAATGTACACCAAGTGTGATCTAGTCGAAGAATCGGTCTGTGTTCTTGAGGCGATGCCTGTGAGAGACGTGGTGTCTTGGAACATCATCCTTGCGGCAAATGCCCGGAATGGGGATTTCAAGGTTGTGTTGGAGCTCTTCCGGAAGATGGAACACCAGGGGATCAAGCCCAGCAGCGTCACATTCGTTACCCTCGTCCAATCTCTCGCGCGCCTGGGCGATGATGTGGAGGCAGCGCGATCAATCCACTCGCGAATCCTGGTCAGCGGGGTGGAGATCCACGACGCGCTCCTCAACGCGCTGCTCAATCTCTACGGCAAGACCGGCGTGGAGGACGCGCGATCCTTCTTCTCGACGAGCATGCCGGCAAAGAATCTAGTCTCCTGGAACACAATAATCTCTGCTTGCCTGGACTGGGGCGAGTCCAAGGAAGCGTTGGAGCTCCACCGCCGAATGGATCTCGAGGGCGTCAAGGGCGACGAGATCACCTTCGTGGGGATCCTGGGCGCTTGCGCAGCGACCCAAAACATCGACCAGGGGCGATCGATCCACGCACGGATCCTCGCCTCGCCCTCGCGAATCTCCAGCGATGTGGCAGTGAGCAATGCGCTGGCGGGGATGTACGCTGCCTGTGGCTTGCTCCATGTCGCCAGGGACTTGCTCGACGATCAAGCCAAGGAGGAGGAAGAATCAAGCGTCGTGACGTGGTCAGCGATGATCAGCTCGCAAGAAACCATGGCCGAATCGTGCGTGATCTACGGAAGAATGCTCCTCGAGGGCATCCGGCCCAATCACGTCTCCTTCCTCTCACTGATCGCGGCATGTGAGAAGGAGCTCAATCGCATCGAGGATGGAAGATCATCGATCCAAGAACACTTCGATCGAATCCAGGGACACATCCGAGAGGCCGGACTAGAGCTCGTGCCCGTCGTCACCACCGCGCTCATGAGCTTCCACACGAAGCTCGGCCGCGGCCTGGACCGCGCAAGAGATCTCTTCCAGCGATTGGAAGAGCGATCCGTGTGGCCGTGGGTGGCGATGATGACCGCGGCCAATTCCAGCGGCGATCCACGCCTGGCTCTCCACTTCTTCCACGCGATGCTCCACGACGGCACCGTTCCCGACGAGATGGCCTTCGCGGTTGCGTTGACCGCTTGCCGAGAGATGAAGTGCCCACACCGGGGAGAGGCTGTGCATTCGTGGTTCCTCGAGAGCGGGATCCAATCGGCCAGACTGGACACCCTCGCGATCAATCTCTACGCCAAGTGTGGGGCTGCGGAATCCGCAAGAACAGCCTTCGACCGCTCGCTCGATCGGCGAAACCCAGTGGCGTGGAGCAGCATGATCGCAGCTTACGCAGAGTGTGGCGAGATCCAGAGAGCTCTTTGCCTCCATCGTGAGATGGGACTGGAGGGGATCGAGCAAGACACAGTGACCTTCGTCAGCCTCTTGTTCTCGTGCAGCCATGGCGGACTGGCGAGGAGGGCCATGGAGATCTTTACCTCGATGCAAGGCGATCACGGCGTGGATCCAATCCCGGAGCACTACGGCTGCGTGGTGGATCTGCTAGGGCGGTGTGGGCATCTGCGCGATGCCGAGGTGCTCATGAATTCCATGCCCTCGGAGCCCAGTGTCGAGCATTGGACGAGCTTGCTCAATGCGTGCACACTTCACTTGGATCCAACGCAAGTCACCGCGCCATAGTCAACAAATAAAAATTAGGGTTCTTTATGGCTGGCAAGGATTCAATCCTCGCCTAGCTCCAAGCCTGAGTATCGCATGGATTGCTCTGCAAGAGCTCTCGCACGCCATTCATGACATGGCAGTCCCATGATGAGCTCAAGGTCTCGGGCGTCCACAGTCCCACAATATGGGAGCTCCATGGCACGATCAACCGCCGGTTCCCATCCTCCCCCGCAAGCCCTCGAGGAAACCCCGAGCTTTCGCTGGGAGAGCTCTGCTGGCTTGCCTCCAGCAATGCCTCTGGACGTGATCTTCCATGCTTGATCCTGGCTTGACGAGCAAAGGTCCAACGTTGACAAGCTTGCCAAATACCTTCTCCCTCAAAGCACCCATAGTCCATGATCTTTCTCATCGAGTTAAAGCCCACTGGATCTAGAGGGTCCTCGGGGGGAAGCGCCTGTCCAGCACTTTAAATCTTCCCGGGATCGATCGTTCCTGGAGAGCAGAAGGAACTTTTTCTCCAGGAGCGTCTCGACATGGACAGACATGTGGAACATGGCTGTCGAGGACATCAAAACGTCGCAAAGTTAAGCTTGAGAGGTAAGTTGAGTGAAACCGCCTCGACCTCTCCAGTGGAAGCTTCTTAATCTCGTCTGAGTTCACGGCCATGATCTTGATGTTCTCAGGGAATGCATTTGCGAGTATTATCTACTTTTAAAGCTTGTGTTTGCAAAGTTACTTGTTCAAACTAGAGAATATGAGCTCATAATAAAGGACACTGACCATTTACACGAGCAGAGGCAAGAATTGCTTCACCTAGATAAGCAATTGTTAAATATAACTAAATAGTTAATTATTTACACTTGTGAGGGTAATGTCAGAGCTCTAAGTAGAACTTCAAATCATAATTGTCATGAAGCATCTTTGTGATTAAAAGAATCAAGAGCAAGAAGACGACAGTTAGAAATAATTTACTGCCACGTATGAGAGCATTGTGGACATTGTGAGCGAACGAGCAACAAGTGACACGAAGCACTATTAAAGGACAAGAGGAATTGTTTGCGCTGGTAGAAGTAAAAAAACCAACTTTTCAAGTCTTAATTGGAAGGTTGGAGCTATGGAGGAAGAGCGCTTGGATCACATACACATTCTCGCAGTGCCATTCTTACTCAAAGGCCATGAGATCCCTCTCCTCCATCTCTGTTGCCATCTCCACTCTCTGACAGGGGGCCGGATCTCCGTCACGATCCTCCAACTCCCAGGAGGATGGCAGCGAGAGAACAGTTTGGAGTTTGTTCGCTACGAGGATTTGCCGCTGGAGCCTCCAGCGGAGAGGAACATGAAGCTCTTCCTCGAGTTCTTCCCAAAGTTTAAGGCGCTGGGCGGTGCCGTGGCGGCGCGCTGGCGGCACCGCAGAGTGACGTGCGTCATAAGCGACGTTCTCGTGGGCTGGGGCGGAGACGTTGCCCGGGACTTGGGCGTGCCGTGGGTCGCGTTTTGGACGTCCACCATGACCGAGCTTGCGGTGTATATTAACTTACCAAGGCTTATCTCCGAAAATGCGATCAAAGGTACGTGATTTCCAAACGCTTTCTTCCAGGAATGGTGATCTTAGAAAACTTGGACTGCTAGATCTCGAAACCGTGGTGAAGATTCCAGGGCTTGTGGACCTCAAGGTCTTGGACTACATGACGCTACACCATGCCACAGATCCAAAATTCAGCGCCGCCATTGTTGTCAAGACCTTTGTGGAAGCTGTGGGGTATAGCTCCCAAGCTGATCGCGTACTGGCAAACTCCTCCCACGCCCTGGAAGGCAATGCGGTGAGAGCTCTTGAGCTATGTGGAATCAACATCGTTCCAGTGGGTCCTCTCCATCTAAACATCTCCACTGGGAGCGATCCAGACGATCCAAACCAGGTAATTCCATGGCTGGACAAACAGGAGTCTCGATCGGTTCTATACATTGCGTTTGGAACTATTGCTCCAGTCCCGGCAGCCCAATTCGAGCAGATAGCCCTGGCTTTGGAATCCACGAAGAACATCGCTTTTCTATGGGTGGTACGCCCGCAGCAGCTCGAGCTAGTGCCGAAGGAATTCGGCGCTACCGCGCGGTACGCGCTCAAGTCCGGTGGTGCCTTAGAGCACGTTAATGGTGGCACGGTATACCGCGGGCTGCTAACCGACTGGGCACCCCAGGTTGGGGTCCTCGGGCATCGTGCCGTGGGCGGTTTCTTGACGCATTGCGGATGGAATTCGATCTTGGAGAGCGTCACCGTTGGCGTCCCTGTGATGTCGATGCCGCGAATGGCCGATCAGTGCTTGACGAGGAAGATCTTGGACGAGGAGTGGGGGATTTCGGTAAGATTGGGTAACGCCATTACTGACGTTGTGAGCAAGGCCGATTTGGAGGCTGCAATCGAGGAGCTCATGTTTAAAAGGCGGGATGAGCTTGGAAAGAAAGTCAGCGATCTTGGAGAACTCGCTAGACAGGGGATGGAAGAAGGAGGATCTTCTCGATCCGGCATCGATTCCTTGGTCAAAGACCTTGAATTGTGGAAGTAAACGCTAGTTCAAAGCTTTTTTTATTGTATTCTCTTTGATCGAGAAGAGGAAATAGTACGTGTATATATATATGCGGAATTGATGTCCTCCACGATTCGATGGACAAGAGCATAGCCTTTGGCAAACAAAAACTAAGATTGGGAGCCCACTGGAACGTGGATGTTGGAATTCGTCAAAACAAGTGGCACAGCTGTAGGTACTCTGCTCGTCTGTTGAATTCTTCCCATGGCTCTGGAGTGGCTCGTCCACGACTGCTATGGTCCCAAATGGTGGGAACATATACTACGAAGAGTTCAAGAAGTGATTTCTAATGACCATAGTGTCTTTGCACTAGGAATATCTAGTTGAGAGAGGCCTACAAAATTGCCATCCACAGGGGAACACACATGTATGATGTGAAATATTGCCAACACCAATGACTACACTCTTATCTCACAAGTTGCAATTGACACCATAGTCTGACTGTCACCTCTAGGACTTTCTAGATTCCAAGATCTCAGACCACTGTCCACTTGGCATCTCACTACTAGTTCAAGGTGGCACTATAGGTCCACCTTATGTCTCCAAAATTTTGAGAGTCTTAGCTACAAAACATGCCCACACCAAACCAACACACAACACACTTGGTCCAAGCCTTTTGTCACGGCAGCCACCAACATTTTCGGCCTAAACAGGCTACCAGGCTCCCAAAGGCTTGTTGGTGGGACGTGGAATACTTTGTAGCACTTGCCACTAAACTACAAGATTTACATGTGGGGGTAGTAAAAGGGTGAGAAACACTTTTTTGGCAGCTTTGCAAAAAGAAGAAAAGAAGATATATCAAGCATGTCAATGATGAGTAAATCAAGGATTTCCATGCCAACCCTACCTGGGCACATAACAAACCTCGAGCAGTCATGATATTGAGCAATGTGGTCTGGGTGACATACCTCCCTTTTGCGCCACTAGTCTTGACACAGCAACACAAGAGGACAGCCACCTTCTCTATAGAGGACATTGCCAATGCCATTCGCAAATTGCCAAGATGCCAAGCCCCAGATGCACAAGAGCTCACTGTAGAGATACTGCTGGCTGCAAATGAAAATTTCCTCACCCCCATCCTCAAGGGAATCTTCAACAACATAGCCAGCATCGGCTTCCCAACAAGATGGACTATAAACCATCCTGTCCAACTATAGATGCATCATGATAAGCAACATCTTGTCCAAGCTATATGCCCAGATGCTGGAAAAGCAGCTGATGTAGTGGGCAGAAACCACACATGTACGTGCATGGGGTCAAATTGGCTTTCACCCACAGAGAAGCTACACAGACCACCTGATTATGTTTTGAATCCTATTGGATCACTCCCATGCAAAAGGAGGCAGGCTCCTCTGCTGCATTGTGGATTTTAAAATGGCCTTTGACACTGTACTAAGACACTTGCTCTTCCAATAGCTAGAGGGAACTTGGTGCACTAGCTGACATCATCACTGCCATAAAGCACCTTTACACCTGCATTCAAGCCAAGCTCACTAGACAAGCAGCAATCCCTTGCAACGCCAGTGTCAAGAAAGGATGCCTACTCTCCCCAACATTGTTTGGCATCTACATAGACACATTGGAATGCCTTCTAGCCAAGTGTGAGCTTTCCACCACCCAAATCGTTGGTCTCTATTTTCATCTCATGCTTTATGCCACTTGCTACTCTTTGCTATTCTTTGCTAAATAGAAAAGAAGATGTAGTAGCAGTTAGAAGCCCTCAAGGGATTTTGCTAGGACACAAATCTTGGGATCAACCTGACCAAAACACAAATTGTGATCTTCAGCTTGAAAGCAAGACACACCCCACTCCACTATCAAGGACAAGAGGTTCTGCAAGTTACCACTTACAAGTACCTTGGTTATTACCTCCACCATCAGCAAATATGAACCACTAGAGTAGTTCAATGTGAAGTTGTATCCGAAAGAACATATTATAGCCTATTGAATCACTTCGTGAAGTACCCATTTACCAATGGGATGCACGAAAGGAGCACTATTAGGCTAGGGTCAGCACCATGATGCTATATGGCTATGTTGCATGGGCCACCAGCCAATTGGTAACGAGTTGGTCCTGTCTAGAAAAGCTTTACCAAACCTTCATTGCCAACAACTTTGGCATCAAATAGAGAGCACCCTATGGCTTGCTATGCATGGAGAGGACTACTTCCAGTTGCATGGAAGTGCACCATGCAGTTCATGCTCTCTGCATGGAGAGACACATTTGACCACTATGCTCGGGCAGCTATTGAAGACTCAATCCAGCTCAATGCCTAAAAGAGCCAGTGATGGTGGAAGGATTGCTGGAAGTGGATGGAATGCCTTGGCTTAAACTTCGATGGACTATTGGACCAACCAATCACCACAATTCTCTTGGCATGGATCAGCCTTGCGTTTAAAGGCTGGTTGGCAGGTTCAAACAGGAACTCCCACTTCCAGGACTACCTCAATGACATCAACACTGGGAGAATCATTGGTCCCAGCATTCACAATGCCATGGGCTACACCAGGCATATCCTTGCAAAATACTGAATAAGCCCGCACACTTCATATCGAACTAGGCTAAAGACAATAGCTTGTTATGCCTAGAGATGCCTGTCTTTGCCCCCTATGCAAAACAGGAACAAAGACTTTGTCACATGTCATATACAATTGCCATGCCTATATATGGCTATGGCTTTTCTTCCCCATACTAGACTTCTATACCCACAGCCTCCTTGCATTCATGGGGAATACAACCATGGCAGCAATCTACATGCCATGAAAGATTGAAGGGCACTACTCATTGAAACAACATGCCCCCACTTCCCATACGGAAACATCTAACAAGTACCTAAATGACAACTCTTTCCTCTTGTCCCCTCCTCCCCAAAAGTCCCATACTCTCATGGGCTAATGCCGACTATAAACACATCTATTTATCTCTATTTACATCTAAAATATGATAATCATATATAATGATTTCCTGTGATATATATATATATATGATATTCTTTCACATAAATTATTAGCACACTTACTATAAGCTATACTACAAATTAAGCTATATATATTTTTATTTGAGTTCCATAAGCTCCATTTTTATACTATGCCACTATTGTTATTTTTAATTCCCCATTTGAAATTTATTTTTAAAATAAAGAGAGATAATAAAAACTTATAGAACTAACTATCAGTAAATTTTTGAATAAACATTCTATTCTTAATAACTCTATAAAAAATACATTTAAATCATATATAAATTATATATAATATTGTCATATACTAATATTAGTATAGTGGGATTTTGATATCTATCAGATTGATTTCAATTCAAACTAGGGTGTTTGGGCTAATTGAATATACATAATTCTATATCCCATCTTTATATTCTATATACTTACATTAGTGGAATGGGGGCCAACTTTGATTACCCTTGAGTGTTTGGATTTTTGCTTTTGGTTTAGATATAGCATTTATATCATCTAGATCTTTCTCTTTTTGTAGCTTTTCAAATTTTTTATTTATTTTTCTTCTTTTTATTCATCTTCAGGGTAGAACAATAGTTTAGTCCTTTGACTCTAGAGCAATAATTGGTGCAATTGCTTAATGTTATATAGTTGTAATTGAACAATCAAATTCAAATGATAGTATAGTACATGGTGCAACTCCTCGTGCTTTTGTTGCCAATCCTTATGTTTGGCTAGAGTTTTTTTACGGGAATCTTTAGGATAATATATACCATTGGTTTAATCATTTTACCATTTATCATTCTTGGGATGATACAGTTTCTCATATGTCTCTAAGGGACAATGTTGCAATAGTACAATGGTTTAAACACAACCATTAATGTAAATTGGAGTCTTTTCCCAAACATTTTTACACCTTTGGACATATTAACAATTATAATGATGCCTTCCAACAATTGCATTATCTATATCAAAGGTTTATAAGTAACCAAAAAGAATGACTCAAAAAATAATTCATAAATGTTCAATTATAAAAGGAAAGAGCCTTTCTCCAATTGATTAAGGGTTTTGGGATATTTTGGGTTAAATGTCCTTGAGTTTGAGTAATATTAAGTTGAATGACTTCCTAGGAAGTTTAAATTTAGGAATTTATAGGGCCATTTAAGTCAATGATGTAGTTTAATATTCATTTTAGAAACGTTTTGCTTCATGCAAAGCCAAATATATTAGAGCGAATTAAATTGGGAATGTTGTGGCTAGTGCTTTATCAAAATCTTGTGGGACTTATGCATGTATTTGCTTTAGCCACCTTTATTGATGCTCTTTGACTTTCTGTGAGAGATGAGTATAGAGGTTGATATTGCAATTGCCTATATTTAAAGACGAGGACGAGGACGAAGAGATGATCATAATAGTGATATTTACTGTTAGACATGTGATAAGGATGGCCACACATATCGACATTATTGGCATTTTCTAGATTGATGTCCTTCATTTCTTAGATGGAGGCCTTAGTATCAATAATATCCTATTAATGTTGCAGTAGTAGGTTTTGATATAGAGATTTTTCTGGGAATGAGGAGTCACTTGAGTAATGAAGAGTTATTGCATGCATAAGTTATGCAACCATGCCCGACCTACCCACTATCCTTACTATACATTCGTGACAATTTTGTGACGAAGCCTGATGAGAGTATTTAATGTTGCATCGACTATCGTTGGTTAACAAAATGACTATTTTGGATGTGTACCCTTTTCTTTACATTGATGATCTTTTAGATTGTTTAGTGAGAAGTCGTTAGTTCACCAAATTATATCTTGTTTTTAGGTATTGACAAGTGTCGATGGCCAAAGAAGATGTTCCCAAAATTATTTTTTATATACTATTTGATTTGTACAAATTCTTAGTGATATTGTTCAGTTTAAAGAATGTTCAAACAACTTTTTAGCAAATGATGGAGGAAGTTCTTTACAATATATTGAAGGTGATTGCTAACTTCATTAATAATATCTTGATCCATTTGGAAGGGACGTGGGAGGAGCATGTCTATGATGTTTACAAAGTGTTAGGTCGGCTATAGAAAGTTAGTTTAAAGCTAAAATAGTTGAAGTGTGTGCTTGGGTCTAAGGACATAACTTATCTTTGGTATTGTATTTCTCATGAAGGTTTATAAGTTAATATTGATAAACATGTGGTTGTTCTAATTTCTTTACTCCAAAATGTGTAAATGATATGAAACGCTTCCTAGGTAAGGTGCAATATCTTGATCATTTTGTTGATCATTTTTTTCATCATACTGCACCATTATAAACATTGTTAAAGTCATTAACATCACCTTTTATTTAGTTTAAAAACTACGAGTGGGCATTTATGCATCTCAAAGAGTTATTGATGAATTTTGGCATATCCTGACTATACTTAACTTTTCATTTTGCATGTGGATGTTTTTTATATTAGTTTCAGGGGTGTATTGATGCAAGAGAGCACAAGTATGTCTAATTAGTATTATCTTATTGCACATATTAGCCATACATTGCAACCAATAGAGTTAAATTACTCCATAATAAAGGAATGTTTAGTAATTGTTCAAGAAGGTTCACATACATAGTTCTCAGATATTACTAAAAGGTTATTATACTATAGTTACTTCATCATTAAAGTGGAAGAACTTGGTTAATTGTATTGCTTAATGGGCTTTAAAGTTTTATATATATATAAGGTTATTCATCACTTGGGGAGTTTTATACTTAATGCTAATGCACTATCTTAAGTTCATCTCTCTTTTACACTCTCTTCACTTGTTCTTGATAAGTTTATTGTTCCAATATTAGTAGATTTTGTTAATAAGGATTTTATGCTATCAATGGTTATTATACTTAATGTGTAGTGTCCACAAGATGTAACTTAAGATTTACCTTCTTTTGACAAAATTCGTGAGGTTTAAAAGGTTAGTCATGGATCTGAAAGCTTCTTGATGGGTTTGAGAATTTTGCATCACTTATTGATGACTTGCTGTTTCAGCATTTACCTTCTTAATATTGCTTTGAGAATGACCTTTTTTATTTTATGGGGATTAATCTTGATGATCATTTATGGCTAGTAGTGCCTTTGATTTTTATTCCACACTTTTTCTATGCCTATCATAAATTTAAGCAAACACATAGGATATCATTATTTAATTGAGAATTTGTCAACATAAAGTTATTAATTATTGAATAAAAAAATACAAATAAAAAAATAGTGACAAAATAACTATTTCAGAATAAATAATTGAATTCTACACATAAAATAGAAGTAAAAGGAAAGGAAAGAATATATATTAAGAACAATAATGAAATAGACATACTTCACACTTAGAGTAACCCTCTTACTGTGCTTGCCAGCCAGATAGCTGAGTTTGATTTTGATCAATGTGTCAAAGACGTCGGTGCCATCAAACAGCTGGACCTCTGAAGACTTGATTATCACGGCTCTCAAGGCTAATACTAGCATTCTCAACACTGCCAAGCGAGTTTAGGAGTTAAATCCTGGCCATGATCGCATGAACAACCATAGTCAAAGTAGGTCAGCATACTTGAGTAACGTCTCGTCCACGTGGCTTCCACGAGCACCATGCAGGGGATGCGTGGATAGCTCGGCCCCACGGCCATATCAGCTGCCACATCGGCCTGGCACGGGCACGTAGACTATGTGGTCGTGTATTTCTATCGTGAACTCCGGCGACTGAACCTCTGTTTATTACATTTTCTAGTTCCTCCTCTCTTCCCTCTTTCTTCTTTCTCAAGAAGTCCTCCCTCTCATACAATGGCACTGCGAGATTCTTTGTTCGCAAGGTTCGTCTTCGTGCATGGGGACGACGACGATGACAATCCCCCAGATCTTGCGCCCGCCGCCTCGGAAGTTTCTGCATGGTCTTCTTGTCTCCTTGGGGAGGACCAAGTCATCTATGAGATTCACTGCGGAGATCGCGATCGCCAAGTAAATTACTCCAGATGATTTACAGTGTTCACTGTGTTCTTTGATCAATGCAGAGAGATAACACTCCTGCAACACTTCGCATTGGGATCTGAGAACGATGTCTCCCTTCACTGCTGTTCCAATTCAAAAACCTCTTCTTGCGTGTATCTCATCCTTCTCGCCCTCATCGTTTTTGGCTTTGCGGAGCTCGACTCTCGGAGAAGCCAGACAACCAAAGTAGTCGTCAAGGATCTATGTAACTCTTTAAAATAATACCAATCCACGATCTCTTCTCTTAGAGTTTGAGTCGATCGTAAAATAGTTTCCTAGCTTGGGCTTTCGTCAATTTTCCTCCATCTAAGGGAGGAAAAAGAAACCTGGACTATTTCTTTCTTTATGAAGGGCTTGGATCCATCTTCTCGGCTGCCTCAAGTTTTTCGCAGGTTTTTGTGCGTGGCAGCCCATCGGAGTCTGGAGCAAACGCTAGATCTTGTCGTCTCCTCTTCATCTTCTTCTTGTTCTTCTTGGACTTCTGCGCTCTCTTCCTCTTACGCAGAGCTTTTGAGGCGATGTGGTCGGGCTCGAGCTCTAGAAGATGGCCGACGCGTCCACGCTCACATAGTTTCTACTGGCCAGTCTCAGAACCCATTCCTCGGGAATCTCCTCGTGCAAATGTACGGGAAATGCGGCAGCTTGGGCGAGGCAAGACGGGCCTTCGATGGAATTCCCGAGAGCAAACGCAATGTTTACTCGTGGGGTTTAATGATCTCGGCGTATGCCCAGTCCGGGCATCACAAACAAGCGATAGATTTGTTCCAAACAATGCAAGAAACAAAGACAATGGTGGTGAAAGCCGACTGCGTTATACTCGCGAGCGTTTTGGGTTCTTGTGCCGCCTCCGGCGATCTCCAAACTGGCAAAGCTATCCACGAAAAAATCTCTTCTGGGTGCTTGGATTCCAATCTCGTTGTCGAGACCGCGCTCTTGGACATGTATGCAAAGTGTGGGAAGGTGGCGGAAGCTCGAGGGACGTTTGATAGGATGAAAGAGAGGGACGTTATCTCGTGGAACGCAATGCTTGCGGCATATGCCCAAACTGGGCATAACACCCATGCAATCAATTTATATCACGGGATGTGCTGCGAGGGAGTCTTTCCAGACGAGTTTACATTCTCTACGATCGTTACGTCTTGCTCGAGTTTGAGGCTCTTGAATCTCGTCCATGCCGTGATTGTCGAGAGTGGCATGCAACACGACGATGGAATCTATTGTGGTCTTATCAAGTCGTATGCAAAGCTTAATCAGATCGAAGAGTCCGAGAGGATCTTTAGAGACGTGATCTTGCAAAAACCCAAAAGAAGCAGTGCTCTCGCCTGGACCACCATGATCGCAGCATATGTACAAGTCGGCCATCTCTACGTTGCTCAAGCACTGGATCTCTACCAGCAAATGACAGCCGAAAGCATCCAGCCGAACAACTTGACCTTCACCAGCGTCCTCTCGGCATGTTCCTTGATCGGCCCCCCAGCTCTCGACCTGGGCTCCAAGATCCACGAGAGATTCCTCTCCTCCCAACCGTCTAACACGATGGAGCAACCGTGCTCGCAATGGGTCTTGACGAACACGCTCATTACAATGTACGCCAAGTGTGGGAGCCTCTCCCGAGCGAAGGAAGCGTTCGAGAGCATCCCGGTCGAGAAGAGGGGCCTGGTTTCGTGGAACGCAATGCTTTCCGCCTACGCCCAGCTCGGATCCGACCGCCAAGCCGCGGATTTCTTTTCGGCCATGGGAGTCCGGGGCCTGGAGCCCGACGAGGTGACCTTCACGAGCATTCTCGGGGCGTGCGCGCGGCTGGGCGACCTCGAGCTGGGCAAGCGAGTCCACGCACAGCTCAAGTCAACGGCCCCGGCACTCGAGTCAACCGCCTCGGTCCAGGTGGCGCTGGTCAACATGTACGCGCGCTGCGGCGACGCAGCGGCGATGCGGTCCCGCTACGGCAACACCGCGGCGGCGCCCCGCGGTACGCCGCGCGGCGAGCCCGTGTACTGGAACGCGCTCATCGCGGCGCACGGGCTGTACGGGCACACGCCACGGGTTCTCCGTCTCTTCAGCGCCATGCAACTCGAGGGGCTCGCCCCAGACGAGGTGACGTTCACGAGCGTGCTTGCGACGTGTGGTAGATCGCGCGTTGCGCGCTGTGGCCGCGGCGTCTTCCAGGCCATGATCTCGGACTATGGGATGAGGCCGAGCTTGGCGCACTACCGGTGTTTGATCCACCTCTTTGGGCGGGGCGGGCATCTGGGGGCTGCCAAAGAGCTCATTGAGAGCATGGAGTACGAGCCCGGGGACGTGGAGTGGACGAGCTTGCTGGGCTTTTGCCGGCTCCACGGCGGCCTAGCCAACGTCAAGCTCGGGCGGGAGGCCGCCATCCGCGCGCTGGAGATCAACCCGGAGAACGAGACCGCGTACGTGCTGCTGCTCAATCTAAATGCCGCGGTACACAGGCTCGAGGACGCCAAGCGGCGGTGGAGGAGGAGAGTGATGGAGAACCGGCGGCGGCCGCGGTACCTCTGGCGGTGGATGAGGGAGCCGACGTGGAGATCGCTGCTCCAGGGGCATCCGCACGAGAGGAGGATGAGTCAACGGCGGCGTCACGCGTTTATCGAGAAGCTCGACTGGCGGGCGGGGGTCAAAGGGCGGCGCCGCCAGCAGCTGCAGCTGTCCAACAAGCTGCCGGCCAAGACCCTGGCCAGGATGCACGCTTTCAAGGACTACTTGTCTCCAGATGCGTGGACTGGCTAGTCGACTTACCTGATTGATCCCAATTGTCCTTGACCACACCAATGACTTTTGGAGAATTCCACTCTCTACTCCTGAGAGGCTTTGAAGATTTTCTCCTTTGCTGCTCTGGAAGATGAAATATAAAAGATCTCAATGGTTCTGTGAATCGTGCTAAAAGTTTGCCGCAGCTGCACGTTTCATAGAGCCGCGGTCCAAAAAAGAAGAAAACCTCAATAAAAGACTGAGGCAGAGGCTGGATTTCCTAGTGTATTTCCTCCCGGTGTTCTTCCACCTCGCAAGAGCGCACGCGTATCTCTCAATTAACGAGCTTTCTTCTAGCCAGTAAATTTGAAGATGACCACTTACCCTGGGGACAATATGTTCTGGATTGTGGGAGCTTTCTCTTCGTTCCAGAGATTGCTACTGCATTCACCATGTTGTTCAAAGTTGCCTTTGAGCAACATTAACTTTGAGCAACATGGTGATTGTAGCTCTGTTGCAACAGCTTACAGGTCCTTCTTTAGAAGACGCATCAACTTTGTCGCGTGCCCTGGAAAGACATAAAGGAGATGTTGTCAGTGTCATGAACCTACCGGCCCTCCATGACTGGAGCTTTCTTTGTGCTTCTTTTTCTCCAGCGGGCACGAAAGCATTTCAAGTAGAGACACTTGGAAATTCTGAAACATCTGGCGAAGGGAGTCGTGTTCAGGACGGCTTGTGGGAAAAGTCGTCGCAGCTATCATGAGGATGATCGAACCGAAGGACTTGCATTGCGATGAGCGGGATTCTCACCCGAGACCAGGAAAGACGAAGCGACTAAAACAAAAATCAGCACTCGAAAAAAACGAAGCGACTAGAACAAAAAATCGGGGAAGAGCTCACCGCTTTATACCGAAGGCCAACGGCCACTGGCACCTTTAAATCAGAGACCACAAACTTAGCATAAAAATCCACGAAAACGATTTCGCGCCTTTGAGGAGCTTGCGATGTCACAGCCAGCGAGAATGGATGTCCCCCCCACAAGCTTAGTAATGTTGATTCAATGCAGCAATTCAGGCACAGATGGCTTGTCTTCTCCTCCTGGAGATTAATGCGGAGATAAAGTTCATCCTGTTACGGTCCAATGAATACCAATGGATACTTTTCTCCAGCTGACTGGTTTGACTTCGTTTAGTCATCGGAGATCCAGGATTGTGAATATTCAAGCCACTCAATCAAGATTTCGAAAGACTCTCTCCTCGATCACAGGCACAAGATGGTAACCGTGGAGGCAACCATGGTGGCGAGCGTGAGCAGCAAGAACGCCGCGTAAACCGCCCACCTCCTCGTGAACTTAGCGTAGTACGACGCCACGGGCTCCTGGTACGGCACCTCAAACTCGCAGTCCTCCACGGTGGCCACCAGCGATCTGGGCAGAGCCCGGAGCTTGGCGAGCTTGGCGGCGGCGAGCCCAAGCGTGAGCTTGTGGCAGTGGCGCTGGAACTTGAGGCCATTGAGGACGCGCACAGTCTGCGACACTGCGGCGTAGATCACGGCGTGGCCGAGCGAGGCGAGCGCAATGGGAGACCAGCAGTGGCGGCACTGGAGGCGGCCGGGAGGGGTGGCGGCGACGCTGGCGAAGAGGAGCGCCAGAAAGACGAGGAAGGCGGCGAGGAGGGCCCAGAGCTGCTTCTTCTGGGCGTCGATGCCGCGCTTCTTCTGGATCGTCTTGTCGAAATGGAACTGGACGATGGACTGGAGCGAGTGGATGGCGGTGTCGAGGGTGGAGACGGCGAAGATTCGCCCGAGCTCGTCCCCGGCGGGAGTGGCTGTGCTGTGGCGATCATCCGTCTGCTGCTCGCTGCTGCTGGCCGGCGATGGCGAGGGGTTGCCAATCTCAATTGCGGGCTTCTTCCTGCTGGAGCTGCTGAATCCATTGCCATTCATGGTCGTGGTATCGGCCTAGAGCACTGGATTCGCTACAGGGAGGGAGAACTTACCCATATGTTTCTCATCGTCGCCTGGATCAAACTTTCCACTCTGTGTTGTTCTTGAATCGCTGGCTCGTGGATTTCTCTTTTCTTTCGTCCAATTCTCTGCTAAACGATGATGATAAGCACAATAGCTTCGCATTGATGGAGCGAAGTGGACACACCCAGTCACTCACACCTCAGGTGCCAGTGTCCTGGCATTCTCTTTTCCTCGGCGAATGTGCATTGAGCAACTAATGGAAACCTTAATTATTTTTAAATAAATCGAATATGCTTAGAATATTCTCCAGGCAAGGAATATACTTCTACAGATGCTTCGTCATCCTCGGAGGTTTTCTAGCAGTGATCGTCCAGCCACTGCTTGATGTCCCCGTACACCACCGCGCGCGCCTCCTCGGGCTCCCCTTGCAGCAGCGAGTGATAGTAATCCTCGTAGATCTTGATCGTCTTGTCCTGCGACTTGGCCTTGTCATACAAGATCCGGCTGCCCTCCGTCTCCGCCACCACGTCCGACGTCCCATGGAGCGCCAGCAGCGGCATCTCGATCTTCTCCACATTCTTCTGCAAGTACTCGCACATCCTCGCCAGGTTCCTCATCGTCCCCACCCTCGGCTTCCCCTTGTACCTCCTCGGGTTGGACGCGATGAGCTTCCCCCGCGCCGGATCCTTGATCGCCTTGCGCACGATGTTGTTCTCGGGCATCACCGCCCACGACTCGGCCAGCCCGAGCAGCAGCCCGTATCCAAACAGGTGGAGCTTCGACGGCTGCATGAGCTCCGGGATGACGATGAGCGGCGCCGTCACGATCACTCCATCCCAGCCCTTTGGATCCTTCAAGCACATGAGCAGCGTGAGGCCGCCACCCATGGACTCGCCAAACAGGAACTTCTTGAGGCCCGAGAACTCGGGCTTGTCGCGGACGGAGTGGAAGTAGCGGAGGTTTGCGTCGGCGAAGGCGTCCACGTCCCACACGTAGCCGTGGAGGCCGTCGGAGCGGCCGTGGCCCAGGAGGTCCGCGCAGTAGGCCGCGAATCCCCACTGGGCGAGCGTGATGGCGATGGACTGGAAGAGCCAGCCGCTGTCGCTGCCATAGCCGTGGGTGAGGAAGATGAGAGCGCGCGGCGCGGCGGCGGCGTCCAGCGGGAGGAAGGACTGCGTGAAGAGCGTACCGTGCGGCGTGGTGTAGTGGGACTCGGCGTGGCGCACGCCTTGCTGCGCGTAGAAGTCGTCCGGGGAGATCTCGTCGCCCCAGTAGTAGGCCGGCTTCTCCAGGGACGTCGCTGGCGCCATAGCTCCTCCTCTGCGGCTTGCCCTGGGACAGGAGCAAGGAAAGATGAGAATGAATCGATGAATGTAGCTACGAGGGCCTTAGAGGAGGATGGAATTACGGTTTGCTACCTCGATTGAGCTTGGCGATGGAAGATCTCACGAGGAACACGCGAGGCACGCCTGAAGAACCCTAAATCGCGACGTCATTCCTCACTAGCCCACCAAACCTCGTCCACCACGCATTGTTGACTGGTTGGTCAGAGCGGTCAGAGAACATCCCAGCCCTTGATAAGGCTAAGATTGGATCCAACGGATACAAATCAATCTCGATAGAATATCCAACTTTTCAAAATAGGATGAACAGGAAGAATAGAACGACGAAAACGCTGGAAGTTTGGGTGATACCAAAACTCGCGGCCGCCTCCTGCTGTGGAGGCTTGAGGAATGGACTGTTGTCGTTTCGATTCTGGGAGACGGGTTGATTGATCGGCGATGGAGTGTGCTCGAACGATGCCCCGTCTTCCAAATGATAGCCTGGACGAGACAAAGCCGAGCGAGAGCTTAAACTTGGAGAAGATGGAGCGAACACTTACAATTGGCGGGCGACCATCCCAGCGTCGAGCGCTCCCGATCGAAAGCGAATCTGTAGCCTCCCATGAAGTTCTCTGCGCAGTACACAAAGGTTTTCTCAGCTTGATTCTAGCGAAAACGCAGCACTTACGGCCGATGATGGGAAAGTTGCTCTCGAGAACCGCTAAACAAAATCCCAGTACTCTACTCTGCAAGCCAACGAATGGATTTGAGTTTTCGTTTAAACAAAGCACCGAGAGATAACTTACGTCCGAGCCGATGACCAACACCAGAGGATCTACCACAGAAAAATTCCCTCCTCCTTGAAATGTTAGCGACAATGATGGTGCTGGAATGTCTGTTACTGTATCTTCGTTGCCGCTGCATGACAAACACAAGTCTGTGTGAGACCGGCTCGAAAGATTAAACTCAAACAAAGACTAACTTCAATCGGTAGCAATACTCATAAGGGGACAAGTCCACGTTTGTTATTCTTCTGAGATTGATCTGGCTGTCGAACTGCGTCACCAGGAGAATGTTTGGCACACAAAAACAAAGTTTTAAACTGGGCTTACTGCTTCTGTCACACGCTGGTAGGCATCGGACTGAAGGTACGTCAACGTTGTCCCGGTATCAAAGAGTGCATTGAAGCTTCTAAAAGTGATGTTTCGCCCGCCAACAGTAAACTGTTCAATACCAACATCGTATGCACTTCTGCAAAATGTTTCATCGCAGCTGGCTCAAAAACGAAAACTCAACTATCACTTACTTAACGCCAGAGTTTGGAATGAAGGAAGTGGTTTGCTGCGATTTAGCTCCCCGATCACCGAAAAGAATCCGTCCCGATCCATCGGTGTCAAAGCACATTGAAAATGTGTCGTTTATGAGACCGTCTTTGGCGAGCATGCTTGGCAGCGACACGTCTCCCGGCCCCAATCCCAGGAGTCCATTGGGAGCACCACCACGTAGAAACAATCCCGTTTGCTGCTCCCCACACCTGTTTGCTGCAAATAGTCAAGAAAAGCTCTGAAGAATGGAAAACATCCTCACCCAAAAATGATTCTGGCAGTAATGGCAGAGCTTGTCGCTGGCTTGAAAAGGTGAATCACATCCTCCACTAGTTTTCCTGACGTAGAAGTGTTCTCTGAAAGATATCTAACCGTGTATGGACAGACTGAGGAGTTGCCGGTGCACGAGCTGCTGGAGCAAGCCTTGTCGCCACAAGTGAGTAGCTTGTTGGTCGTCGAACTGTTTGTTGTGAAGTATGTAAGCCTCTTCTTCTGAAAGGCACGGTCAAACCTTCAAGAACAATTTCTAGTGAAACACATACCAAAGTGGGAAACTCCGATGGAGAGACGGACTGGCAGTGCTTACAGTCGCAGGGAACCCAAAACAAGTCACTCCCAGTGTCAAGTGCCACCAGAAAAGAAACATTTGGAGTGCCTATATCCACAAACGTGTAGTGAATTCTGAAAGCAACAGATTTGTGAGAAGAGAAGCGAATTCGATTGGATAATGAAAAACTTTAAGAGATCGTCTACCTTACCCTCCGAACCTCGGTCCCAGATCCTCAGTATAATTGCCTTGCAGTAGCGCTAGACTGTCGTTGCCAGTGAGCAGCTCTCGGCCGTGCTTTGACAGGTCGTGCTTGAGCAGCAGCCTGTGGTAATCTAAGCTGCCTCTCACCGGAGGAGCTGGCTCTTCTCCTAGACCCAAGAGCCCCCTTGCCTCATCCGAGTATCTGTGAATAATTCTAAAATCCAGGGAACTCGCAAAAGCGAGATTGAAAAGGAGGACTAAAAAGGCCTGCATGCTGATAGGAGTGAATGCAATTCAGAAGAGGAACCGAAGAGGAGAATAACAATGGAGGATGAAGAACACCATTGTGAGCAAAGTCGTAGAGAAAGCGCCGTCTCAAGAGAAAGACGGAACCGAGAAGGGGACAGCTAACTCAGACGACACGATCAGACATTTGCTTGCTGTTATTCTAAAACAAAGTCAAGGATGCAACTTGAGAAAGAAGGGCAGGGACAAAGGATCCACAGAGAACCGACCTATTCATGCCGGATTGGAGACGAAAAGGAAACTGCTATTAAGACGCGTCCCTACCAAATTGACGCGGAAGGAAACAACGGCTTAAGAAGCGCTCATCTTCAGTTAGTACTACAAAACTAATGTCAGTACATGCAGGAAATTCTAGATAAAGCGTACCTGTGTCAACTCATACTTTTTTTTTCCGTTTTTGTGTAGACGATAAAACTCGATTCCTGGACCACTGGCGGTAGTTTGTGTACAGAAAGATCGCGGCGAAGTATGCGAATGTGTAGGCTGCAATAAAAGCCTCAAAAAGGTATGGGTATCTCGCAGGTGGATCCAGCAGCAGATAAGTGAGATGAAGAACGAAGCCACCAAGCAGTGAGGATGCTGCTACTGGGTTGAAACTCCTGAGTGGAACAAAACCGAGGAAGAAGAGCAGCAGCAACGCGAAATATGGGAGCAGGAGACCATCTCGAACGAGCAAAGGGAACATGGACATGAGTGCACCTGGTATCAGCCATCTCCAAACGAGTGGCTCATCTAAAGCGAGAAGCGTTCCCGGAATTACAGGAAGAAGAATAGATTTCTCGTGCACTGACAACCAAAAGCTTTAGCAAGTCAGCGGTACAAAATACCAATCGAAGATAGTCACCTTGGTAAGAGAAGAAATAGAAGGCAAACGAGCAATTGAACATCGCCAGGAGGAAGCCTCTCCTGCTTGGCCTGAGTATCTGCTGAAGCATAGACGGCAGTATACAGGCCAAAGTGGCCACGAACGCAAGCTGAACAAGCACTCGATCTGGGAGCAGCTGTTTCCACTTTATGAGCAGGTTAGAAACACACCAAAAATTGCTCACGTAGTCCTCAAACAATCCCCGATGGATTGGAACCAGGCGACTCAGAACCTGTGTAGAAACATGTAAAGCACGGGTATTACCGATGGTTTGATTACCTGTAACACTGCTTCTCTGGAATGCAAAAATGGCCACCAGCAAAGAGCAAAAGTCGATAAAACGGCAGCTCCAAGCTTCAAAACATTCAGCACCGGGTACTTCTTTCTCAAAGAAATCCCCAGGAGATGCGAAAAGAACGCGGGAGCGTAATACATGCTCATCTGCAAAAGTACGCATTCATGAGAATTTGTTGAGCTATAGTCGGATTTACCTGCTTGTGATTAAGCGACAATGAAAATAAAACACACGCTACTATCTCCCACCTTGAGATGACTGCTGCCGCGGCACCAATCGCCAATCCCAGGCTCAGGCAGTTATACTGGAAGAACGCAATGCCAGAAAACTTAGAAACAAGAGTGAGGAAGAAGAGAACCTGAAAGTGTCCGTGATCGATCAATATCAGAGCCGGTTGCAACAGAATAAGCGCTAGAACCCAGACACGCTCTTCATGACTTCTCTGGCGATAATAAGCCGCAACGAAAGCTATAGCTGCCGGGAAAAAAATAGCAAGGTCCGATAACACCACAGTCCATCGCATGAGAACCTTGCTGCCCAGACTTGCAAGTTAGAGAAATGAAAAGGAGAAAGGCAACTAGATCATGAAATACCTGTGGAGAGATTCATAGCCTCTGGAAGAATGCAAAGCAACCGACTGCTCGTCAAACTTTCGCATGAAAACTCCATGTATGTAGCTCTGGTAGGCCGTGAGAGGAGGATAATCCAGGCCCCAGTAGCCAAGATCGTTGTCAGTAGTGTTGCGGTACCAGTCCGAGACGGGCAGGTTGATCGTTAGCTCCATCCAGTGCCGCTGCGCTTCGTAATCTCCATACTTGGGAGGATTTCCAGCGCCTGGAAGAGATCCGATTCAAGAAGCGAGATTTCTTCGCGAGAAAACTGACCAGAATAGGAATGGAGGCCTGTGAGAAGACGAATCAGCACGGCGACGGCCGAAATGAAGATCGCGGAAACGCGGAAGGAAGGCGCATCCCGCATGATCCCGATAAACCCTAATGAAGGGAAGAACAATATTTTAGGGTTCTTGGGCATTTTGACTCCATGTCGCATTTCTCGATCCAGCAGGTAAACCTCTCAATTCAGACTGTGGAGCTCGCGACTGACCGATTTCCATTCTGTGGAAGGGCGAAATTCCTTCTTGTTCTTGCCATAGCAGCGGGGAGCTTACAAACAACACGAAATCACAGCGATTGGAGGGAAGAACGAGCGCAAGCTCGAAATTTTGCGCCTTGCTCGCGGCGCTCGATGGCTCTATCAGCTCCAAAAGCCTTTGGATGGCGAGAGAAGCCCACCTTGCCGCCATCCAGAGTGGAATGGACGCAAACGTCTACATTGCCAGCAAGATCGTCCACGCCTACGCGAGGTGTGGAGGCCTGGTGGATGCTCGCAGAGCCCTGGATAAAATTCGCGCTCCCAACGTCGTCTCCTGGACCGCCCTGATGCTCGGGTACGTAGATTCCAAGCAAGAAATCCAAGTCTTTGAGCTCTTCCATCGAATGCTCGCAGGTGGCTGTGCTCCAAACGCTCGGACTTTCGTGGCGCTGCTCAAGGCCTGCGCTGGTCTGGCGGCTAGAGAAGAGAGATGGAGCAAGGATGGAGGAAGAAACTCGGTGGTGAAGTTGAGGAGCTTGGAGAAAGGAATGGCTTTCCACCGCCAAGCTCGAGTGGAAAGCTTCGACTCCGACTTGTTCGTGGCAAACGCGCTGGTGGACATGTACTCGAGGTGTGGAAGCATCGACGACGCTTACAGGGTCTTCTCGAGAATGCGATGCCGAGACGTGGTGTCCTGGAACACGATCATTCTCGGCTTCGCGGAGAACCGGATGGAAGAATCGGCTTTGGTGGCTTTCTCTCGGATCGAAGAAGCCTGTGAACCAAACGGCCGGACTTTCAGTGCTGCTCTCAAAGCTTGCGTCGGTCTGGCATCGAGAGAAGATGGCGAGCTCGCCGCTGGAAAGATCGTCAAAGTGAGGAGCCTGGAGGTGGTCATGGCGATTCACTCTCGAGCAGCAACGGCCGGGTTTTTCAGCTCGGATGGCATCCTCCACAACGGCCTGGTGGATTCGTACGCAGCGTGTGGAAGCCTGGACGATGCTCGCCGGGTTTTCGAGACTTCTCGCCGCGACGTGGTCTCGTGGAACTCGATCATACTCGGGTGTGTAGAAACCGGTGAGCCCGGCATGGCACTGGAGCTCTTCTCCAGGATGAAACACGAGCAGCAAGTCGAGCCGGATGTTTTCACTCTCGTCGCAGCTCTCAAGGCCTGTGGCTCCTGCGTTCCATCGACGGAAGTTTGCAAGCTTCTCCATGCTCACGTCGCGAGGTCCGGCTTCGAGGCCAACACCGTCGTAGCAAACAGCCTCGTCGACGTCTACGGCAAGTGTGGAAGCTTGCAAAACGCCCAGCTCGTCTTCGACTCGGCCATGGAGACGAGAGATCCGGTAACTTGGAACTCTTTGATGGCGGGATTCAGCAGGAGAGGTGACGCTCGCACGGTGGTGGGATTGTTCCACAGGATGATCGACGAGGGGCTAGCAGCGAACGCCATAACTTTCGTGCACATCCTCTCGGCTTGCAGCCACGCCGGTGATGTAAGACTGTGCTCGAAGTTCTTGGAGATCATGAGCTCCAAGTTTGGAGTTTCGCCGAGCTCGCAGCACTACAATTGCCTGGTTGACGGCCTGGGACGGAGTAACGAGATGGATCTCGCCGTGGCGACGGTGTCCAAAGCAATGGTAGATCATAGTTGCGATGGAGTCACTCCGGTGGCGTGGAAGACCGTGCTGGGTGCTTGTCACAAGTGGGAAAATGTGGCTCTCGGAAAGATGGCCTTTGAGAATTTGGCTGTGGTGAATGATGATGCGGCAGCTTACGCACTGGCTTGATGATCATCGATGATCTCTCGCAGCAAAATCTATGCCTCCCCCAAATGCCCATTCTGGGCAAATGCTGACAACAACAGTCGAGCTCGCAAAATGTATAGATCCATGAATTCGTTTTCTTGCTTCCTTGGCTGTCAATCTGTAAAGATTCCAAAGACAACCCATGTGGTCGGAGAACGATCTTAATCACTCCCGCGAAATAAAATACACAATCTAGGTAGACCAGCAATGGCTCAACTCTTACTAGCATTGCTCTTGGCGATTTCCAGTGCCTCGCTTCGACATGACAAGCCCGGGATCTCTAGCTGCCGCTGCCACAGCAATCCAAATTGCTGGCCCCACGATCGCGACTGGAAGATCTTCAAGGCCAGGCCGCCTCATCACGATCCCCACTACAACCATCGTCTCTGCGAGCTCGTCACCGAGAAATTGGCGCGATCCCGGCTCGCGAGCAAGGGTCAGTGCCGGTCTACGCGGTCAATGTTAGTCAAGTCTCCCAGGTGGAGGCTTTCGCTGGCACCGTGAAGAACACTGGCCACGACTACAGTGGAAGGAGCACTGCGAGGGGAGCGCTCAGCATTTGGATGCATCACTTGCAAGAGGTGCGCTCTCACGGTGGTCTTGGCTGTGATCGAGGGCGAGATCCAGCGGCGCATGTGGCGATCGGACTTGGAACCGCTCTACGAGGCGGCGATGGAGCACAGGCGCGAGATTGTGGGCGCTTGCTCGCTCCAGCGTTTCCGACAATGTTGTGGAGCTCCAAGTCGTGACGGCTGATGGGAAGCGAAAGGTGGCGAACAAGTGCCAGAACGAGGATCTCTTTTGGGCTCTCAGAGGTGGCGGCGGAGAGTCGTGGTTTCACTCACTTACAGTTTCGAGAACACAATCTTTTCAAGCGTGACTTGACTGCCGAAGATCGCCCAAGCTTTGAGACGCTCGTCGAGGAGTTTGCGCGGGTGCATTCGGAGCTTTCACCTCATGGCTGGTCTGGTTTTTTCGATATCAGAAACTTCTCCCCCCTTGAGATACGTACTTCCAAACAAGGCTCGCTCCAGCTTGAGTTCTCTCCTCGGCTTCCAGCACAGCCAGATTCAGACACACTAATCTTTCCAATCCTATACATCCTTCTACAAAATCATCAATCCAAACTGTGATATCCAGTTCTTCCAGCTTCACGTCTCGTCCCAACTTTGAACTCTTTCCCAGCCAAAGCTTCTCGAGCACTCCTGACGATACCTCTCGACTTCCAGGTTCCAATCCTGGGCTGCGTCATCGCTGGCGGCCAAGTCTCGGTGCTTCGCAACAACGCAGTTAATCCCGCCTTGAGAGATTCCCTGTTGCTCGTCATTGCCTTCGTGAATGCTCCGAGATCACAAAGGAGAGAGGCAACAATGCTTGTTGATCGATATCACGCCTGGATCTGGGAGCTACATGAACGAGGCCGACTACAACGAGCCACACTTCCAGAGATCGTTTTATGGAAGCCACTACAAGCGGCTCTATGAGATCAAGCAGTATCACTGCGTAGGGAGGACCCAAGATCTTAGGTGCAAAAATCCAGTCAAACAAGTCAACAATGGTCAGCATGGTTGACTAGTTTGCCTCCTCCAAATGCCCATTCTGGGCAAATGCTGCCAGGAGCAAACTCCACGAGAGAAAATGCCTCTCCAGCATGGTATCCACTCCCGCGATATCTAAGCTCTGGCATTCCATCTCTAGCTCTACCAATCGACTACTCCCTTCTCATGGTGCTATTGAGCTGGCCGAAGTGGACAAGCGTAGTGTTCAAGGCCTTGAGGACGTGCCGGCGGTCGCGCTCGCAGCTCATCCTGGGCCACATCTGCGCGTCGGCGTAGGGCGCGATGATGCAGCGCGAGTGATCCTTCTGCCGCTCTTGCTCCGCCTTGCAAGGCTCCGCCCAGATCCCCTTCCCCCTGCGCTTCTTCTTCCTCTTCCTCTTCTTGAGCCCCAATCTGATGAGCTTCTTGCGCTTCTTCCACCGTAGCTCCCTCCTCACGTCCTCGTACACCGTGCCCAGAACCCTCGACGATGTGAATCCACGGAATCCCCATGGCTGGTTTCTGGCCGATGCAGTGAAGATCTGATGAGTGGCATAGCGTGATCGAGAGGGAGAGATCGCTCGAGAAACGAAACCACAGGCTGGGCGCACCAGGGAAAGCAGCGCCCTCATCCTCAAGAACCCTACATTCTTTGGAAGTAAAACACGTGGCGACATGTCCAAAAAAAAAAAACTTATCCACGTGGCAAAAGCCACGTGTTTATTAAAATTGCGCAGCCGGGGAATCGAACCCCGGTCAGTACCGTGGGAGGGTACTATGATACCACTACACCAGCTGCGCATCATGGTTGCATTACGTCACTTTTAGTCAATCTTGTTGACATTGATTGACTTGTTTGACTGAGTTTTGCATCTAAGATCCTGGGTCCAGTCCTCGCTCCCTACGCAGTGATGGCACACAAAGAGCCCTCCCGGATCCACGCGCTGCTTGATCTCGTAGAGCCGCTTGTAGTGACTTCCAAAGAACGATCTCTGGAAGTGTGGCTCGTTGTAGTCGGCCTCGTTCATGTAGCTCCCAGATCCGGGTGTGATATCGATCAACACCTTGTTGGCCCTCGAGACCAGCGTCGCTGCCTCTTTTCTCTGTGATCTTGGGGCGCTCACCGAAACAATGACGAGCCACAGCGAATCTCTCCAGGCGGGATTCACGGCGCTGTCGCGAGGCACAGAGACTTGGCCACCAGCGACGAGGGCACCCACGATTGGAACTTGGAAGTCGAGAGCTATCTTCGCGAGTGCTCTAGAGACTTTGGTTGGGAAAGAGTTTAGAGCTTGAGTTGGGATAAGACGTGAAGCTGGAAGAACTGGATTCCCTGCCGGCCCGCCAACGTTGGGACAGCTTGGATCGCTTCCGCACAGTGCTTGCTGAATGAGCTCATAGAAGGATGCGTAGGATTTGAGAGAATAGTGGGTTTGAATCCGGTTGTGCTGGAGGCCGAGGAGAAAATTCAAGCTGGAGCAAGCGAATGCCAGGGTCTTGTTTGGAAGCACGTATCTCAAGGAGAGTGAAAAGTTGCCGACATTGAAGAAACCAGACCAGCCATCAGACCAAAGCTCCGGATTCATCCGTGCAAACTCCTCGAGAAGCGTCTCAAAACTGGGGCGATCTTTGGCAGTCACATTCACGCTCGCAAAGATTGCGTTCTCGAGAGCCGGATACGTTCTGTAAGTGAGTGAAACCACGACTCCAAACGTACCTCCGCCGCCACCTCTGAGCGCCCAGAAGAGATCCTCGTTTTGCCACTCGCTCGCCACCTTTCGCTTCCCATCAGCCGTCACAACTTGGAGCTCCACAACATTGTCCGCCGCGAGGCCAAAGACTGGAGAGAGCAAGCTGTGCCCGCCACCTTGTGCGAATCCACCGGCAGCTCCAACCCACGGGCACGAAGCTCCCACAATATCGTGCCTGTGCTCCAGCGCGGCCTCGTAGAGCTGGTTCCAAGTCACTCCAGCTCCAATCGTCACATACGCCGCTGGATCCAGCCCTCGATCGTCGCAATGCTCTGCTTGATCACAGCCAAGATCACCGTGAAAGCGCAGCTCCCGCAAGTGATGCATCCAAATGCTGAGCGATCCCCTCGCAGTGCTTCTTCCAAGGTAGTCGTGACCAGTGTTCTTTACCACAAGGAGAAGGTTGTGCTTGCTAGCGAAAGCCACCGCAAGCTCCACCTGGAAGACTTGACTAACATTGACCGCATAGACCGGCACTGACCCTTGCTCGCAACGCGAGCTCCTCGGGTCGCGGACGGAGCAGCTCTCGTTGCGGGCGTCGTCCATCTCCCAGTTATCGGCCATCATCGCTCCCGGCTGGTCGGATCTCCAGGCGGGATCGCTCCAATTCTCGGTGGCGAGCTCGCAGAGATGATGGTCGTAGTGGGGATCGTGGCAAGGCCATGCCGGGGGCTTGACCGCGATGAGCCGGCCTTGGATTGAGGCATTGAAGATCTTCCAGTCGCGATCCTGGGGCCAGCAATTTGGATCGCCGTGGAGGCAACGGCAGCTAGAGATGTGATGGCCGTGAAGAAGCGAGGAGCTGGAAATCGCCAAGAGCAAAGCTAGCAGCAGTGGAGATCTTCGTGCTATTGCCATTTCTGGCCCAGCTAGATATCACTGTCGTTTGCTATTGCCATTGCTGGCCAAGCTAGATTGCGATCACTGTCCGTCTCGATTTCCTAAAATCGCCCACCCTTGACTTGACGTGGTTTGTCTCGGGATCTCTTTTGTCTTTACCGAAGCTCCAAGCTTGGGAGTCCACCATTTGGACACAAGGAAGCAAGAAAGCACGAAAGCGAGTTCATGAATCTATACCTTTCGCGAGCTCGTCACTGTCGCTGCCACCCTCGCTCTTGATCATCTCGGCCAGCAGCACATACGGAACCGAGATGTCGGGCTCAAGCTCCGTCACCTTTCTTGCCGCCAGCGCCGCTCTCTCCAGATCCCCGTGCATGCGACACGCCCCGAGCAGCGACGTCCACACCACCGAGTCCGCCACGTACGGCATCGTTCTGATCAGTTCTTCCGCATCCCCCGGGTCCCTTGCTCGCCCGATAACGTCGACAACGCTGCGAAAGTGCTGGATCGCCGGAGAGATCCCTGCCGACAGCATCCCTACGAAGGCCTCTCGGCACTCGTCCAGCATCCCGCCATAGCTGAAACCTGTGAGAAGCGCCATGTACGAAACCTTGGTTGGACGTACGCCCTCGAGCTGCATTGCCCGGAAGACCTCCCCGGCCTCGCTGTGGTGCCCAGTGTGGGCATATGCCCCCAGGATCGCGGAGAACGCCAGCGTCCCGCGGGAAGGGATATCCTCGAACATCGCACAGGCGTCGGATACGTGGCCGCATTGGGCGTAGGCCACGATGAGCCCGATCCACGAGATGGAGTCCCATTCGGGCATCTTGTGGAAGCTGGCTACCGCGAGTGCCAAGTTTCCGGTTTGGGCGTAGGCCGCGATCAGTCCATTCCAGGAGATGAGATTCCGCTGCTGCTTGTCATCAAACATTTTCTTTGCTATGACACAGTTTCCAATCCCTGCGTACGCCGAGATCATCACGTTCCAGGTCACGAGATCCCACATTGGCATCCGATTCATGGTGGAGATGGCCTTGTCGATATCACCAGTTTGGGTGTATCCAGCCACGACTGTCGTCCACGATACCACGTCTCTCTTGGGCATGGAATCGAGAGAAACTCTCGCTTGCAGCGGATGCCCATTTGCGGCATATGCTGAAACAAGCGCGTTCCACGAGATAAGATCGTGCTGTGGCATCTTAGAAAATATGCCGACAGCTGATTCTAGATCCTCCTGTTCGCTGTACATCATGATCATAATGTTGCACGCTACCGCGGTGCGCTGCGGCAGCCGCATGAAGAGATCCTCGGCATCTTCTACAAACGCCCGGTTAGAGTACGCGGTGAGCATCGCGGTGACCGAAAGGATATTCCACTGCGGCATGGTGTCGTAAAGCCACTTCGCCCGCGCGGTGACGCCCGCATTGGCGTGCGCGGTGACCATGGTGTTCCAGCACACGATCCCGCGACGTGGCATCGCGTCAAACAGGCACGTGGCGCTGTCCAGGTGGCCCCAGCGGACATACGCCGCAAGCATTGCGTTGCGCGACACGTCATCCCGGTCGGGCATGGCGTGGAAGACGCCCTCCACGTCAGCGAGGTTCCCTGCCTCCGTGTAGAGCGTGAGGAGACAGTTCCAGGAGACAAAGTCCCACTCTCGCATCCCGTCAAAGATTCCTTTTGCCGCGTCGTGCTCACCGTGGTGGGCGTTGGCCTGGATCATCGCATTGGACGCTACTACGTTGACGTGCGGCATCCGCAGGTAGGTACCGCGTCCGTCGCACAGGTCACCGTGGTCTGCCAGCACGACAATCAGGGTCGTCCACGTCACCACGTTGCGCTCTGGCATTACGTCGAAGAGGAGCTTGGCCGTGTGGGGGTCGCCATTTTGGCTATACGCCGTGATCATCGCGTTCCACGCGATCACGTCCCTCCCGGGGATCAATCTAAAGATTGTCTCCGCCTCTTCGATCTGGTAACTCAGCGAGAGGCCGGTGATGAGCGCTGTCCACACGACGACGTTGCGTTCTTCCATTCGATCGAACATCGCGCTCGCAGCGTCAAGGTGCCCGTTCTGGGCAAATGCTGCGACCATGCCGGTGATGGATTGGACGTCCCACTTGGGAATGCGATCCATGACTTGCGAGGCCTGATCGACGAGTCCCGACTGCGCGTAGGCTTTGATCACGGAGCTCCACGATACGACGTCGCGATTCTCCATCGCCAGGAACATCGCCTTGGCCTCCTCCGAATGCCCGTGATGGGCAAATGCGGAGATTAGCGCGTTCCACGAGACGAGATCCCACTGCGGCATGCGATCGAAAGTGGTCTTCGCGTCGTCGATGTGGGCATTCTGGGCGAATGCGCCCAGTAAGATGTTCCAGGAGAAGTGATTGGGATCGCCCATCGCGTGGAAGACGGCGCGAGCGCTCTCGATGCTGCCCAGCTTCCCATACGTGTCGATGAGGAGATTGGAGAGGTATCGGTCGTGATTGCAGGGGCCGGAGAGGATCTTGCTGTGGAGAAGCTGGCATTTGTGGAGATCCTTGCAGCTCTTGATCGCGTTGGCGAAATCGGCAACGAGGCCAAGGCCATGTCTTGCCAGAGCGAGAATATTCGGCTTAATCAAATGTTAGCCGTTGGATATAGGACCATCCAACGGATGGTATTCAGTTAGGGTTCTTGGCCTATCGTTATCTTCTTTATTCCATGGCGCTTGTCTGGGAGCTTCAAATTGGCTCGAGCTGGTAAGGTGTCTTGTGTTCTTGGCTATGGCGTGAATGCGATCGATCGAAAGCGACGCTGTGGCTGACCAGAGTGAATGGAAATGAGTTTTGTGAACATATATCTGTGTGGACCAGCTGTGCCACCAAATGCAGAGAGAAAGATTGTTTTGGAGCTTGGAGAAGGAGGAAAAAAATACTGCAAGGACAGAGCGAGAGGTAGCTATCGAACAAACTTCACGTAAACAATCCTCTCTCCTGTCTGTGCTCTTTCGATTTTTTGTTGGATCGATCTATGGATGGATCGAGTTGGATCCAGCCACTTTCATTGCGAGATTATTCCAATCCAGCTCTCCCTCTCGACTCAACCCACTGGTAGAGAATGTAATGCGATATGCTCTTGCGAAGATCCTTTGTGCGCCACCACCTTTCCCAAACACACGAGAATTTCTTGCCCTCAAAGTGGTGCACGTAGCAATCCAACAAAGGCTTTGCGATAAAAATAACTAATTTTTTCTCCGCGAAGGGTCGCGTTGTGTGCTTCCATCCAAAAAATCGCTACAGCGCAGCACAAGAAGAAAAAAAAAAAGAAACCCAGCCTTATCCATTTCGTGTCGACACTAGAGGGACCGGAGATTCCCAGAAGATGCCATTTTTTCTTGGCTTTCCACCCTTAAGTGATTGATTGATTGACTTGAGGGGTATCTAGAGCGAATCTTATTGGATTCCTTGCCAAATCCTATGCACAGGGGAGCTCAATTGGGAAAAAGCTACAAACCACAATTTCTTTCAGTCTCTACTCGAATAAAAATCCGATCGATGGATCGATCGTTCCAAGCTTGCAGAGAGCCAACTCGCTTTGTTGAATCGAAGACCGAAGTGATATGATAAAAAAACGAAAGTAAAAAGAGAGAAAACTTTCCATTGTCCCATCGATCGATCGATCCAACTTTCAAGAGATCACGCGACTCTCCAGGCCGATACCGTGTTGAGCGGCAAATTCCTCCACCCGAGAACCAGCGAGCCTCTCTCGCTGTGGAGCGTGTAGCCATTCGTGTAGTAGAGGCGGAGTAGCAGCTTGGCCTGGTTGACGGCCCTCTGGCTGAGCGGCGATGGCCGAAACCCCGCCACCTCCAGCCGCTTGCTCCAGTCCGCCATGCTCTCGTGACGCTCCACCCGGTTAGGCCCCTCGCACGCGATGATGTTCCGGATCTTTGGCGCCGCAAAGAGCCTCTCCATCTTCAACCTCCCGCTGGGCGAGCTCGCGCACGTCGCCATGGCGTCGAACACCGCCGAGTAGTACTTGAGACACTCCCCGAATCGCTTGAGAAAGTCGGAGCTGTTGTGGCTGGCGTCGTTCTCCGCCATGACGAGCACCTTGGGCCGGAGAGCTCGGATGTGAGCCATGAATCCGCCGAAGGAGGTGTCCGAGTCGGAAGTGGAGGGCTGCAGGAGGTAGTGGAACTGGCTGAGGCTGTTGACGATGAAGGCCTCGCCGGGATGGAGGTTGACGAGCCCGGCATGGAACTTGTCCGCCTTGGGCAGTAGCAAGGCCTTGTACTCGAGATGGACGCGCAGCGTCTTGGCACACTCGTGGAGCTTGTCGCCAGTGGCTGCTAGATCGTCCGCGGAAGAGCCCACTGCCGTGATCCTCACTCTAGGTGGTCCTCCGGGGCGAGTTGCGAGAGCTTGCAGCAGCGCCGGCCATTGGGTGCCAAACCAGAGCTGGAGGTCGAGGATGTGGATGGCGCGCTCGCGCTCCACGGCGTCGAGGATTACCTGGTTCATGGTGAGGTGGTCGAATTTGCCGATGGGGAGGTAGTCGTAGAAGGTGCTGAACGCCTCGAGCATGCTGGCCTGCGTGGATCCATCCGACTCGAGCAGCTTGTCGCTGAGCAGGCCCTTGAAGAGCGCAGAGCCCGTGGACTGATCGATCCGCGCGGCAAGCGCCTCGGTGAAGTAGGACGCCAGCCTCTCCATGGGCGTCCCCTCCGGCCCAGTGTGCTGCCTGAGACGCGCCAATATCATCTGGGCGATGCTCGCGTTTTTCTCCGCCACCGCGTGGGCGCACATCACTAGCAGCTGGACGAGTAGCACCTGTGGGTCCTGGGAGCCGTCGTGCGGTATACCGCCCTGTACCGCCACGGTGCTTGCCGGCGCCGGCGGCACAGGCACCGTACCGTGCGGTATACCTCCGCGGTGCTGCCACGCCGGCCCGCGTACCGCCGGCGGCAGCGGCGGCGGCACCGTGGGGTGGACGTGCCACGTACCGTGCGTCCAGCTCGCGAAGGCCGGCTGGATGGGCTGCTGGAAATCGAACGATCGTATCGTCCCAAACGAGTCCTGGTGTGAGCGGAATGGGAGAATCGGCGCTGGCGGCGGCATCGCCACGGGCTGGTAGCCGTGCTGCTGCTCCAGCGAGGGCGAGGAATCGATGACGACGCCGTCGGTCGTGATGAGCTGATCGATGCCGTCGTCCTCGTCGTCGAAGAGCCTGCTGTTGATCTCGTGGATTTTGGAGCGCACCACCGAGTGGAGGAGGACGTTGCCGGGCGGGCTGTTGGGGTCGAATTGCTGGTAGTGGTGAGAGGCCGAGGAGGGGGACGTGTTGGAGGCCGAGGAGGAGGCCGAGGAGCAAGAATTCGCCGATAATCCGGCAAAGAACCCTTGCTCCTCCTCCTCGTCCGTCGTCAATCCCGACTGGAAGCTGCTGCTAGCGGCATCGAGCGAGGACATGGACAAGATTTCCTCGTCCGGCTGCATGAGATACTCGCTCAGCGGCGAGAGAGCGCCCGATCCAGCCGCCGCGGAGCAGTGATCCCACACGCCGCTGCCACAATCTTCGCGCATCGCCAGAGAATGCTGCGATTGAGGAGGAGGAGGTGAGAAGATCGACGCCGGCCAGTGGAATGGAGGGGGGGACGCCGCCAGGAGCTCGTTCTTGACGCTCGTTGCCATCGACGGATCGCTGCTGGCTTCTTCCCGGCCCTAGCGAGCGTCAGGAATCCATAATTTCAACAATCCATCACCAGATTCTAGGCGAAATCCTCCGCGCCAGTGGTAGCAGTGTTCTTCGTCCCTGTTCCTCGCGCATTATCTCCAGAGGAAGGGCAACCATAAAAGATAAAGAAAGGCGAGTAAAAGAAGCCGGAAAGATGGCAACCCTAAATGCGCCCGCAATGGAACGAGGCAAGGGATAAGGGAGAAAAGATAATCTTCTCCTTGGCGGTCGTACCGAGCACACCCGTACTAGGGCTGACGTCACCCTCGGCCAGTTTACAATCGTGCCGTACTTAGCATGGCCCATCATCGACATTGTCTACATACATCTACCGGCAGAAAGATTGGTCAGCTTGGGGCCACACATAAAAAAATTGGCTGGCCGGACATTTCAAACAGCCGCCGGCAAACCCTACAACCACAACGCATTGTAAAGATATTTGATCAAAACTTATCCATGTCCAAGTCAGAATAATCGCCAATGTATCAATTATTGGACATTCTAGACGCTAAGAAGATTCGAACTTGAGACTCAATAGTGACAAAGCGTACGGCGCCAGCGAAATCTTCCGCCCGCCCGAGAATTAAACACACTCCGTACAGATCTTATGACTTCACCTCCCATGTATTTGGACATGTTGTTGGTAGAAGAGAGCATACCTAACTATAAGAGGTGGCGGATGCATCATCACATGACCATTATCAATGACATAATAGGAAGCGGCATCAGCAAAATTCCTACCACTAGACGCCCAGTCAACTATCTCACTTGGACAATGCCAGCGGCCACAAGCTTCTGGATCTTTGCCATGATCATGGGGTTCTTCATGTGGTCTTGAGCTGACTTTGGACTCTCCTGGAAATCGATCAATACCTACAACACCAAACCAGAAAATCCATTCCATGTTGAGACGAAGAATCGAGAAAAATCGATCTCATACCTGTCGCATTACTGGATCCGAGAGAATGCCCTGGATCTCGGGGTCTTGCATAGCCTTGGCCTGAACGATGGAAAGAGAAATAAGAACACACTCGAAGCACTCACTACAAGAAAAGCTAACCTGGCGCTCTTTGAGCTCTTCGGCGCTAATGTCTCCCCTGTTCGTCTTGTTGATCTGCTCGACGCATCTGGGAAAAAAGGGAGAGTCTTGTCATTAAAAGAAAAGTTTCGGTGAATTACCTTTGGATCCCATCCATCATTTCCTGGTTGTGTTCATCGTACTTCAACCCGGTCTATCGAGCAAACGAGAACACACGTTAAAAGTGAGGTCTTTTCATTCTACCTTCAAGTTTTACCTGGTAAGTTTCCAATGCTTTGTCATACTCCTTCATGAAGAATTGGATTGCCCCCTTGCGCGAGTATCCCTTGATAAAAGAAGGATCGATCTCCAAGCACTTGTTAGCATCCTTCAACCCTTCGGGGAAGGCACCGAGTTTCGTGTAGCTTGCTGCTCTGTTGCTGTAAGCCTGCATGCAAAGAGAGGGCAAGCTCAGTGGCTATCACACACAAAATCACGCGTGATACCTTCACATCATTCGGATTCCTCCTAAGAGCCTCCGAGTAATGCTTCACTGCCTCGGGGTACTTTTGCTCCTTGAAATAATCGTTGCCTAACAGTTAAAAGGAAGAAAAGAACGAAGTCAAGCACAATTCATGACTTAAGGTACCTTTTTCTCTCTCCTCGTCGGCAATCTTGGGATCAAAGTACTCCTTTTGCTCAAGTTCCTTTTTGACTTTCTCTGCATCATTGAGTTTTTTCAAAGTGTCCGGATTACGGTGTTCTGTCAAAGCCTTGTTGAAGATCTCGATAGCAGGCTCGTAGTCCTTGGCACACTTAGCCAGCTTGACATAAGCCGATCCCTTCCGCGTCAGCGCCTTTGCTACCATCTTGTAGTCTGAATGCAATTCCCTTCCACGCTCGACTGCCTGATCGCAATCTTTGATACATTCTTCGTACTGTTTGCCGTAAGAAACCATCGAAAGTGAGAAACAACCACAGAAGGTGGTCATAACAAATAAGAAACAGTACCTTTCCAATTTCAAGGTAGACCGCCGCTCTGTTTGTGAGGTAGGAGATATCCTCGTCGTCGAGCTCGATTGCCTTGGAGTAATTCGCCAATGCCGACTCAAAATCCTTCTTCTTATACGCCTCATTCCCGGCCTCCTTCGCTTTTATAGCCGCCGCTTTCTTTTCCTTTTTCTCTCTATCTTCATCCGGTATCTCCATCGGTTCCGGGACCGGCTCTGGAGCAGGAGTAGCAGGCTTGCTTGTCTCACGCCTACTAGTCTCGGATGGCTGAGACGATGCTTCCTGTTCCTCCTCAAAAACACCCTTCTCCATTTCCTCCTTGGAAGGCGTGTGGATGTTCACACCAAGTAGAACTCCTAGAACTTGCATCATCCTAGGATCGTTCATGTAAAGGTTGAGCGCGTTGGGATTTCTCTGGAGGTCTTGCATCATCTTCAAGAAATCCGGCTGCGTGAGAAACGCTTTGGTCCTGGGATCCTGCTGCAGCTTCGCCCACACATCTGGACCCTGGAACAAATTCCCGAAAGGCGATGGCTGCCCTGCCCCTGACATGGATTCCTGTGCGTCCGCCAAGCCCGACTTGAGAGCCTCGTTGCTAGGATCATACTCGAGTCCCTTCTTGTAGGCCGAGACCGCGTCGGGGAATTTCTTGAGGCCGACATAGGCAGCGCCAAGCCTGCTGTAACCTTTCGGCCAATCCGGCTTGAGCTCCACAGTCTTCTTTGCATCCTCGAGAGCCTCCTGGTACTTGTGGAGCGATGCGTAGCATGCGGAGCGATTGGAGTAGAAAACATGGTTCGTCCCAGCTAGAGCAACCGCGTCCGAGAAATGCTTGATCGCCTCTTCGAAATTCCCTGCCGAGAAAGCGGCATTGCCGCGCGCTTTTGCCTCATCCGCCATGCTCCTGGGAGAGAATCGGGTAGAGTGAGAGGTGCTAACGGAGTGACTCTAGCCTACCTCGATCGATCGATCGATGCGCCCTGCGCAGCTCCCTCGCACGAACGAAAACCCTAGAATAAGAAAAGCTTCTAGAGACCTCTATTAGGGCTCGCGCATATTCTCGAGCCTTCCAGGTTTTAGGGTTTATAGAATCCATAACAGGTAGAGAATCCATGGCGCCAAGAAGAGAAATGTAGATCCACAGGTAGGGGAGAATCACGAGAAATCACTTGCGGCGCTGCTCCGCGAGGAAATCTTTGCGAAACTGCGATGAGGAATCGGGAACTCGATCGCACAGCGTCATCGCAGCGATCCAGGAGTGCGCTAGAAGTAGGGATTTGCAGAGAGGATGGAAGCTCCACAGCAATGCGGTGGAAGGAGGGGAGATCTCGCGGATTTCCGTGGCAAATTCACTGATCTCGATGTTCGCCAAGTGTGGGAGCTTGACGGATGCGCGGAGGGTCTTCGATGGGATGGCCAGTCGCAATGTGGTGTCCTGGACGGCCTTGATGCTCGGCTACGCGGAGAACAGGGAAGAGATCAAAGCTCTCGAGGCGCTGGAAAGGATGGAACGAGAAGAAGGCTGTGCTCCAAACTCGTGGACGTTTGTGGCAGCCGCCAAGGCCTGCTCAAACTTGGCCGCTGCCGAGGAAGGCGAGATCATCGATGGAAGGCTTGTGAAACTTGGAGCGCTGGTGCGAGCAATGGGAGTCCACTTCCAGGCAGTGGAGAAGAGCTGTGACTCGGACATCTTTGTGGCGAATTCCATCCTCGATGCTTACGTGAAGTGTGGGAGCTTGGTCGATGCCCGGATGGTTTTCGACCGGATGGTTTGTAGGAGCGTGGTTTCCTGGACGGCTCTGGTGCTGGGATATGTAGACAATGGTGAGGAAGAGGTGGCGCTCGAGCTGGTGTCGTGCATGGGAGTGGAAGGATGCGAGCCGAATGCTCGAACTCTGGTGGCGGCAGTAAAGGCTTGCGCGAGCTTGGCAGAGAAGAAGAAAGTTACCAAGGCCGAGATCTTGGAGAGAGGAAGGGTCCTTCACTGCCAAGCCGTGGAGCTCGGATTCGAGGACGATATCTACATCGCAAACACGCTGGTGGACATGTACGCGAAGTGTGGAAGCGTGGTGAGCGCCCAGCGGGTGTTTGACAGGATGCCTCGACACACTTCCGTGTCGTGGAACGCTCTCATGCTGGGCTACTCGAGAAACGGGAGACCGGAAGTTACTCTGGAGCTGTTCGAGAAGAGAATGGCGACGCTGCGACGAGGCTGGGAAGAGCTCACTGCTGGGACGTTCGTCGCTGCTTTGAAAGCTTGCCTTTGCATGGCGACGAAGGAGGCCGGGGTGGAAGTTTGCGGCAGGCCCGTGAAGCTGGAAAGCTTGGAGAAAGGCATGGCTGTTCACGCGCAGGCTCGAAAGTTTGGGTGTGATCTCGACGTCTGCGTGGGAAGCTCGCTGGTGGACTTGTATGGAGAGTGTGGAAGCATGGCTGACGCTTCCAGGGCCTTCGCAAGGATGCCAGTGCACACGGTTGTTTCGTGGGACGGACTTATGCTCGGCTACGCGCAAAACGAAGAACCAGGTGCCGCTCTGGAAGTTTTTGCGAGAATGCTCCAACAAGGCTTGCCACCGGACTCACGAAGCTTTGTGGCGGCACTCAAGGCCTGGACTGGCCTGGCAGCGATGGAGAACGCGAAGCAAGTATCCGGGAAGCTTGTCAAGGCCAGGTGCTTGGGAAGAGGCATAGCTTTGCACGAACAGGCTGAGCAAAGTGGCTTCTACTCGGACAGATTCGTGGCCGGCACGCTCGTCGACTTGTACTCCAAGTGTGGAAGCCTGTCCCATGCTCGCCGAGTCTTCGAGGCGATGATCCACTGCCGGGACGTGGTGTTCTGGAACGCTCTGATACTCGGCTACGCGGAGAGCGAGGAGGGAGAAGTGGCTCTGGAGCTCTTCGCTCGGATGGACTGCGCTCCAGACGTTCTTAGCTTTGCCGCGGCACTCAAAGCTTGCGGAAGCTTGGTTGCGCTGGAGAGGACAAAGCTCGTCCATGGAGAGATCAACCGGCGTGGGCTCTTGTCGTCGTCCGAGGAGAAGGAGGTGGTGCTTCTCACGAATAGCTTGCTCGACGCCTACGCTAAGTGTGGAAGCATGGAGGACGCTGGGTGTGTCTTCGCTGCCACTTCTTCATCCACCACCAGGAACTTAGTGACTTGGAACACGCTGGTAGCCGGGCATAGCCGCCAGGCCAACACGAGAGAGGTGCTGGAGCTCTTCCACGCGCTGCTCGACGAGGGACTCCGCCCAAACGCCGTGACTTTCGTGTGCCTGCTCATCGCTTGCAGCCGCGGTGGCCTCGTCGAGACTGCCAGGTACTTTTTCCATTCCATGCTCTCAAAGTTTGGGACGCTTCCAGGGATCAAGCACTACCACTGCATCGTCGATTCGCTGGGACGTGCCAACCGACTGGACGAGGTCGTGAAGCTCGTCGAAGCGATGCCTTACAAGCCCAATGCCGTGACCTGGAGCACCGTGCTGAGCGCGAGCCGGATCTTCCGAGACGCCGAGGTTGGCAAGCTCGCGTTTGAGTCGTGGATGAAAGCCGGCGATGGTGACGACCAGGGAGCAGCCTACGTGCTCTTGGCCAGCCTTTACGAATCAAAGCGTTGAGCACGTTGGTGCTGTCGATTTCTTTGTTTCTCATTGTACAGGAGATGGAACCTGGCAAATTCACCACTTTCCACGGAAAGAATGCTTTGGCTTCGCGTTCTCTTATTTTGGATGTTTCTCATCTCTGTTTGTGGTGTTAATAGGAAGAGGAGAAATAAGAAAAACTTAACTCCGGCAGGGCGCGCGTCATTGCAAGTGACAATCCACGGGGAGTGAGATGTTGGACCGGATCGAGACTTGGGCCGTGACTTGGTTCTTGAGCACATCGAAGCACTGCTCCACCTCCTTGTATATCTGGTGGTTCGTCGCGTTATGCGGCCGCAAGTTCTCCAGCACGTTTTCAAACATGACTGCCACATCCGAGGGTGGCAATTGCCTCTCCGTGCACGTCTGTAAACAACCAAGCAAATCGCTGGAGCTTCACAACGAAGAAGAACAAAACCAACATACCTTGATCATTAGCAGGGTTGTCAGGCAGGAAGCGATGAACTCTGCTGGTATGTAGGCGTCTATGTCTGGAGGATAAGGTGCTGTGGGAACTTGACTCGTCGCTTGTGTGTCTTGCGGTAGCGTTTGTGACTTATCAGAGCCCTGTGATTGGTGGTGATTAGCAGGAGGCGAAGAACCAAAACCCAACCCCGTCCCCGTCCCCGCCCCCCCCTCTTTTGCAGGTTGACCATCCACATAGTTATGTTGTTTTCCCAACCTTGACAAGGCATCCTCACCTTCTTTGAGGCAGCACACGGCCTGAAAGACAGAATGTATGAGTTTACAGTCTCTTAGAACGGTCTTTTAGCTTATGCATACCTGAACGAAAGCCGAAACCATGGATCTAGCGTCCTTCCTCGTCGTCAGGGATATCTCTTCGGCCGGCGAGCCTGCACCGAGGCCTGCTACGGCTCCGTCCACAGCGGCACAAGGAGGCGAGTGCCATGGAGCTACTAAGTTTTCTTGGTATCGATTGCGTTCTCTCAGCTGAACGACAGCAGCAGAGACCTACAGAGGGGAAAAAGATTAGCAAACACATTGTTTCCTAAAGAGAGACAGTACCTGCTTATTGACGTTCTTTAGCTGAAGAACAACGGTGGCATACTGTATCTTGAATGCTTCCGAGTTTCTTAGAGATTCTGCTTCCCCAGCGCTCCTGTCAGCTTCATCATTCATACGACGCAGCTCCACCAACAACGCTTCCTATTGATGACACGTTTATAAAATGAGAAAAAGATTAGAAAACAAAAAACATACTTTTTTATCCAGCTGGCGAGAGAGCTCAGCCAGTGCACATATATCTGCCTCGCGTGCTTGCGCCTGAATAGACGATGAAGGCTGCCCTTGTTGTACAGCTGCGACAGCCTCATTAGCTGCTGCTTTTGCAAGTAGCACGGAGTCAACATTGTCCATCTGTTAACAAAGGGTAGTCAGTAGGTGTCTCAGGACATTGCGACAAGTACCTGAGCTCGGTGGCTTAGAGTACTCAGGAAGTATTGTGATGGAGTCGCATAAGGTCGGTCCAATCTGTCGTTCAATGCATTACGAGTGTTTCCCGCACCAATTCTGTGTCCGGAACTGCTTAAATCGATTATCCTTCTCTTTCTCATGATGTCTGACATGTTCTCGAGCGGGTTGACGGGCATTGCGTTGATGTCCTGCGTAGAAGAAATGAGATTAAAAAATTCAATGCTTGCAAGACTAACCAGGACAAACTCGACTCCAAGTTCAGTGCGCTCAAACTGAACGCGACATCGATTTCGATCCACCGTAAGTATTCTGCCATCGTGTATCTCCCCATTCTTTGGATGCCGAGCAATCACTCGCTGTCCGACAGTCAAAGGTCGAGCTAAATCTGGTGGTAAGCAGCATCCTGATTTATCATTCCGAATATCGTGGTAATGCGCGCGGACTGTGTCTCTGTACGCTTCTAGCTTCTCCCTTTCTACTTGCAAAAACTTTTGTGACAACCGACGCGGCTTTCCCAGTGAGCTGCACAAAAAGACATGAGCTTCGTGATCGACGTAGCAATCATTTACCTTCTTATAACAGTCCATTCTGTTCGTGTAAGCTTGGACACATGTCCTAAGCCGGCATGATTAAGATACTCAACAAATTCGTTACGCGCAAACCACGGAAGATCAATGGCGCTGTAAAACCACTCGTAGACACACCATTGCCTAACCCTTGGGATTGACAGACAGTGTAGTAATCGGGCCTGCAGAACATTGTGAGCATTTAAACTAGAAACATAGCACAAATAATACCTTTGCACTCGAAGGTCCAAACTCAGCAGTTGTGTGTGGACAATATGTACGTGTCTCCTTCTCACTAGTATGTTTTCTTTTACTTCTGGGCTCAAAGTCACCATCTTGTGCGGATTCATCAAAGCCGTCGTGCCGCGAGTGCCTGTGCAATTTAGATGTAGATATGCGCTTGGTTCTCCCATGTGGCTTGTAAACAAACGGCAGGGCCTGCATATCATGCATGAATAACCGCAAGCTATAGTAAAGAAACATACCTTATCGTCGGGTTTCGTGCTTGTACCAGCCTCGCTCTGCATAGACAACAAGACTTGAGAATGAAAGTGCAGAAAAACCGCTTTACCTTCTCAGTGCGCTTCTTCTTCCTTTTCGCATCTGGCGAAGCCGATGGCTGCTTCTTGTTGCTCTGCTCTTTCGCTCTGCCTTCCTCGCGTTGCTCTTTCTTCACGGATCCTCTCTCTGATCTCAAAACTTGTGTAACAAGATCTTGTAGCTTCTGCTGCTCAGGAGCTGTTCCATCCCCTCCTTAACAACGAAACAGATTTCAGTCATATCCGGAAAAGGATTTTCAACACAATACCTGCTTCATTTGTTGGAGAAGGAAGTAATCCGCTTAGAGACAAGTCCGCCAACGTTGCGAGTGCATCAAGACCACTAATTTCATCTGCACACGAGTAGTATCAGAAAGTGTTCAGCAAAAGTCAGAAGACAGTACCTCCCGAAGAGAATAGCTGTCTGCTTCGTTTCTTTGAGCGCTGCGGTAAAAACCTTGTCTTTTGAGGTTTCGAGTCTTCAACAACTCCCATGTCCGAGCCCTCACGTTCTTCTTCCAGATTCTCTCGACTCTCTCGTCGATTTCTTATTCTTTTAGAGGGCGGCCGTCTTCCATTGTTTTTATCACCTGTGCTAGTAGTGTCCGGTTCCGAAGGACGTGCCCTGGTTGCCTGATCAAGGAAAGAGGGCACTAGTCAGCATAAAGCTCCAAACACTTGCAACACTTTCAAAAAATCACCTTTCCGTTCTCTTTTGCCTTGGGCGGTGTTGGTGACTCAGACTCCGATCCATTTTGAGATGCCTCTGCCAGGGTCAAGGCCACTGCCTTCACGACATTGTTGAAGTCGTAGTCATCGGAATTATCATCGTCGACGCTCTTGCCATTCTTTGTTTTTGCCTCTTCCAGCAAAAAATGTGGAATCTTGTTTCCTGCCACTCGTGGGCGATTGGCTGCAAAAACAATTTAAACATCTCTATGGGGAAACAAAAACATGAACATACTCCTTGGTTTCTTTGCAGGAGAGGGGCCGCCCAAAGCTGCCTTCCCGCCATTCGCAGTGCTCGCCTGCCGGGCCGAGACAGATTTGTTTCGACGGGTCTACCAAAAGCACAAGCCATGTCAAAAGAAAATTTAATGCGCCCTTGGAATGGGAACTCACCTTCATCAATCAAGCCAATTAACCCAGCCGGAGACTCAGGGAGAGATAGGTGTTCCTAGAAATCCCACGAATTTGGTCGCCAAATTCCACAGCAAAACCAGCAGCTCACCTCGCCACGGGAAGAATCCACTGCTTCATCAGCGCCAATCGAATCGCCTATTGGCAGCGCTGCGCTTCCCCAGCGGATCCACGGCGCCTTAGACGACTAGAGCGCAGCAGCTTCTCCCGCTGCGACCGCAAACCCTACCGATCTTACAGTACTACTCCTCCTCTTTTAAATCGATTTGAAATTTGGGAGCCCTAATCTGGCCAAGCCCTAGGATCGACGGCGGGAATCGCCCTGTCCGCAGATCGCCACCGTCCAATTACAAACAGGTGATTCCCACCAAAGGCCTCTTTTACACCACCGGCGGTAATTCTCCACGTGGCGGCAGATCCTTGGAGCCTTTGAAAAATTTCAAACCCGGACGCGGGCTCACATTCCAATCCGGCTAAACGTCGCAATGTTTTCTGCTTTTTAAAATTCAAAATTTTGCGGACCGGGCGCTGAAATTTAAATTTAGCTCATGCGATCGTAGCCGTCCATTTCCATGTAAAGCAACGTTTAGGGCTGCCGAAGAACCCTAAAGTTGTGAGTCTCTCTGCGGCGAGGTTGATTTTTCTTAGCTAGCGGAGCGAGGATGATGATTCTCAATGACACAGTTATCCCTGTCTGAATTTGGATTGAGGATTCGCTTTGAAAGTCTGACTCTGACTTGTTCTTCCTCGTTTCTTTCTCTCTGGAAAGGCCTGTGATGATCGAAAACATTGACAAGCATATGTCTGATTTCTAGTGCTGTTAACATCGTTCTGAGGCCATCCACTGTTTTGGGCGATTGCTTTGCGAGGCTAGTGATGCCAAGAAGCCAAATCTGATCGATTCATTGTTCCGAAAAATCTTTTTTTCCTGTGGAACATGGTTAGGACGGTCTGAAGCCTCGAATTCGAATGCCATGGAACAAAATGCTTTTGCAATCGTAGATTTGAATTCTTTTCTTTCATCGAATAGTCTAAACATCAACAAAAAAGAGAACTCTGAAACAAGAACTTGATACTTTCGAAAGTTTGGATCAAATGTGTAGTAGAATCTTTGATTTCAAAAGATATGCCAAAAAAGGCTCAATACATTAGAATGTGTTTCTCAACGATTCGCCTTCGCAACACGCTCAATCTCGTCCTTTTTCTTGATCGCATAGCTGAAACATCAAAAACAAAAACAAGGAACTTTAGAGCTTGAGGCGAGAGAAAGAATTTCTGGCCGCAAGGTACCTGTTGGAAGATCCCTTGGCGGCATTCATGAGCTCGTCAGCGAGGCACTCGGCGATGGTCTTGATGTTTCGGAAAGCACTCTCGCGAGCTCCAGTAGTGAGCAAGTAAATGGCTTGATTCACGCGCCGCAGAGGCGAGATATCAACAGCCTGACGCCTCACCACACCAGCGGAACCGATTCGTGTAGCATCTTCACGAGGACCACTGCAAGCAGGAAGGACGAAAAATCAATGAAGTTGTAACAAAGAGATCTATAGCTCTACCTGTTGATGATGGCGTCCACGATGATTTGGATCGGATTCGCATCTGTGAGCAAGTGAATGATCTCCATCGCGTGCTTCACAATGCGCCCAGCCATCAACTTCTTTCCATTGTTCCTCCCGTGCATCATCAAAGAGTTCGTAAGCCTGAAAAAAATGGAGAGAAAACTATCCAAAGGAGAGATTTTGATCGCGTACCTCTCGACAATGGGGCACTGCGCCTTCCTAAACCGCTTCTTGGAGTAGCGGCCGGCGGTGTGCGGCACATAGGTAGCGCGCCGCGACGCAATGTAGTCGTGGAGTGAAATGTCGTGAATCTAGAGCCAAAATCAGAGCTAATGGATCGATGGATCCAGCGCTTACCTCAATATCCTCGTAGCTCCAGGCATTGAAGAGCTTGACATCGGACGAGGCGGCGGGCTTCTCCACAGCCACAGCCTCAGTTGTCGCCGCCATGGAAAACCTAACACAAACCCTAGCCCTAACTTAGAGGAAGAATTAGGGTTTCAGTTTTAAACTTTTTTTTTGCTATAATTTGGATTTTCATTTCCGTACCCCCGGCCGTCAAGCTCTTGACTTAACGTTTAAAGGTGTTTTTCTTCTCTTCTTCTTCTTCTTCTTCTTCTTCGCGACCTAAAAAGGCTGCCATGACCGAAAGAGGAGGAGGACGAATAAGAAGACGATGATCCCTTGAGAAGAAGGGATGCTTCTTGTGCTGCTGCTGCTTTGGTTTTTTTTTTCCTCTCTCGCTCTTTTTTCTTCTTCTCTTTGTCCGCTGGCAGCAGCAGCAGCAGCAGCAGCAGCTTTGGAATGAATCCCCTTTCTTTTTCCTCTCTCCTTTGAGCATGATCTCGTGCATGCTTTACTCATTCACTCGCAGTTCTGGGCTAGAAAATGTGACCCTTTTGAGTGATTTGATTGATTGATTGACACAGAAACGAAGAATAGGGGTTTTGGAAAACAGGAGTTCTTGTAGACTTCTTCTTCCTCCATTTTTTTTTTCTCTCTTCCTTTTTGTGTTCTTCGCTCTCCACACACGGCTTATATGGAAGATCATGTCGCTCTAGACATCGAGAGGCTCGGCGCTTGCTTGGGCGACTCCCATTTCCAGAAGAATGGAACCAGCTCGTCGCTGCTGATGCAAAACCAGTTTTTTCATCTTCAGCAGCATCACCACCATCACCAGGATCACTCCGCAAAGCCACCATCGCCACCATCGCTAAAATCCCAGCAGGACGAGTGTCGAATCTGCCAAGAGGAGGACGAGGCTGGGAATCTCGAAATCCCGTGCTCTTGTTGCGGCAGCTTGAAGGTAAGGAACTTTGTTCTTCGTGCCGGCTGAGAGTTCTAAGCAAGTTGCTGGCTCTTCCTCGTTTTTTTTTTTTTTCTCTTTCCTTGTGTTTTGGCAGTATGCTCATCGAAAGTGCGTGCAGCGCTGGTGCAACGAAAAAGGGGACACCATCTGCGAGATTTGTCAGCAGGTTACATCATCCGCACTGAACTTACGATTTGCTTACCTTCCTCGTGTTCGCTGATTTCGATCATTCCTTTTGTTTTGTTTTCTTTCTTTTTTTTCTTTCCCCTCGGTTGTCTGATGCCTCGCCTCTGTTTTGCAGCCTTTTAAAGGCTACACAGCGCCAGTCCGGTCTCCTGCCGCTCCTGTTGCTCTCCCCGATGACCACTCGAGGTATGTGTACTCTTCTTTTCCTTGTCGTGCTCGCTCGATTCCTCGTCGTTTAGTTTATAGAGCTTTTCGGTAGTGCTTCTTTTTGATTGAGCGATCTTCTGTGAGGCGAAAGGTGCTAAAGTACCTTCCATCGTTTTTCTTGGCAGGAACGTCGAGTGGAGAAGCCACCACCAGCTTGATCCTCGAATCATGGCAATGGCTGCCGAGCGTCACTTCATCCAGGAGATCGATGACTACGCGGCTGCCAATGCTTCTGGAGCTGCGTGTTGCCGTTCTGCTGCACTCATCGTAAGTTCAAGTTCTTGCGGTCTGTTTTTTTTTTTTTTTTTCCGAATGACAAGAGCTTTTACCTCGGGTCTCAGTTGATGGCACTGCTGCTACTTCGTCATACGCTGGCTCTTGGTGCCGCCGGGAGCGACGACGACGCCTCCACTTTCTTTACGGTAGCGTTGAAAGTCGGATAGATGTTTCCTTGTTTGTTGAGACTTTGGTTTTGTCCAGCTTTTCTTCCTCAGGGCCGCAGGATTTCTTCTGCCTTGTTACATTATGGCTCGAGCGATGAACATCTTGCAGCGACGGCGGCAGCGACAGGTTGGTGACCCTTGTGTGGAAATCTACGTTCGCAGTTAAGTTCTTAAGTGGTGTGTCATGACTCTCAGGAATGGAGCACTACCTCGGCTGCGAGAAGTCTCCAAATCCTCGATCCGTCGCCATCTCAGTCCCAGCGCATTCCATTTCTCAACTTGCTTGCGTCTGCACGGGGATGAAGAGTTTTTTGGCGAATACGTGAAGAAGAAACAAATAAAAGAGACGAAACTGGTTGTCATCAACGCAAAGCAAACAAATTGTAAATTCCCAATTGCAAACCTTCCCACAAGTAAGCTTGAAATGGTTTTGCCAACGCATTCAATTAACAAGCACTCGAAAGCAATAGAAGCTTTTTCTAGACGTCCATTACGACTACGGGAGCGTACTGTGGCATTCACAGAGAAGTATAAGGATTGTGATAAACAAAGCAAAACATCACACACACCTCGTCATCATCTACATTTGCATCGCTAATTTCGTTGTCAAGGTCCCACCCCAGACGGCTCTCGAGCAAGTGTTTGAGCCTCCTTGCCTACAAGTGGATCTAAATCTTCAACGACAAATCTTCACGAAATGGTACGAGCGTACCTGCATAAGGAGCTCTCCGTCAACAGGCTGAGTGGTCTTCAGCATGAGTAAAAAGTCCTACGAGATATAGGTGAGAAAACGTGACACATGTAAAGACGTAGTTACCTTCGAGAGCAACCGGAAGAAATTGTCGGCTGAGAACCACGAGGAATCGTCGAGAGCAACGTCTGACTTGTTGTTCTTGAGTCCCTGCCTCATTTGATGATACAGCACTTCCAGAAACTAGACCGGCATAGCCGTGACTTAGTCAGAGGTGCTAGAGTGCATTTACCTTGACAAAAAGCCGTGTCCGAGTCCTTAGTGGCTGCAAAATCAACGTCCGGTAAGTCTACGAAGTGATAATCTAAAAAAATCTTCTGAATACTCTAAAAACTTACTGCCTCCTGACAGCCGAACATAAGACTCACGATGGATTTCCACTGACTAAATCCTTCAAGAGATTGTCCCATCTGGCAAAGACGATCAGGACGAGTGTTATAACAGATTGGTGGAGGAGAAGATTTACCAAAAAGGCTATATAAGCGAACTGAAGCTCTCCTAGTAGAAGCTCCTCGCTTCCATCGTAAGACTCTTTCAGAGCCTTCTCAAGAGCTATGGACTGTAGAAAGCACAGTAAACATACGGCAAAGACATGACGCACGCTCACCTTGTCCAGGTTTAACGAAGTCAAATCTTTGGCCTCTGCACCAGAACGCTTTAGAAGTCTAGGTAAACGAGTGTAGCGACAGCGACTCCTGTCTTGAGTGGACCCTTCACCGCTTTCTTTGTTTCTAAAGCCGTAAGTCTCTTTTGCTTTGATGATTTGCTCGACCATCATCCTCTCTGCTGCGGTCTGAGGATGTTGCTCGACAAGTTCTGCTTCTGCTACGACAGATATGACTCCGTCGCCAGGCTCTAATATGAACAAATGCGCGCGAGAGATTAAAAACCAAAAGGCAATAGACTTACCATGCCGTTTAATCACGGCCGGAGTGACGTAGTTGCTAAGTTCTTCCCAGCGTCGAAAGTGGTGAAGATCGTAAGGAGCTAGATTCTTATCAAACTCGAGGTTTCGAACTGCATACGCATATCTCTCCTCCTGCATCATCATCAGAAAACTTTGAATAATTATCCTTTATAACAAGATACCTCTGCCGGATCTGTAAGCTTCACAAAGATTTCCTGTTGGGAATCCCAACGCATTACTATAACCTGTAAGAAGTTAGAATGAAAACCAAGAAGAAGAAAAAACCTTCGATTGCGTTCCCGTAATGAAGAAACCAGTCACTGGAGCGGCATCTCCACTCCTGTTCTCAGTCCTATCAATCAAACAAATTTTTCCTTCCAAAAATCTCTTACACACCTGCTCATCACGGAGTAGTAGATGAAATGCGGCCCCGGAGGCACCATTTTCACGCCGCGGAACATCGTCCCGACCACAAACATCTGCAACAAAGAGAGGCATTCCCATAAACCCTAGACCTCGCGCGCTCGCGATTCTCACCTGCAAATCGATCCCGAAGGAGAGCGATGGCGGCAAATCCAGTAGCAGCAGCGACGATCCCTGCTTCACCAAGTGCAGCGCCTTGTCCGCCTCCAGTCGGACGCTGTATGGCGCGCTTTCCTCCATCCCCAAAATTCTTTCTAGGGTTTATGCGAAGGTTTATGCGGGAAATAGAATCTGGAATATGCTAATTCTGTTGTTCCTCGGGAAAGCTATCAGGACTTCTGGATGGCGACGAAGGAGATCCTGGAAAACCACGTTTCCATCCAATTACTTCCACTTCCCAGGATCTCTTGTGTGATTTCTCCAGGGCCGTGATTCATAGGCCAGAGCTTTGCTGCGTGATTTTGCCCCCAACCAAGATAAACAAGATCATAGCGTCGCTCCTGCTAGTACTGCTCCCAGTTCACGGTTTATTTGCATAGCTCTCTCCGGCTTTGCCTTTTCTCCTTCCACTTGTAGATGGTTCTAACGATCGTTGTCTTGCTCTGATATCAGCTGTGACTTCCCGGACCACATTCCAGACGAGGAATAACTGCGACTTCATATGGAAGGAGACCACACGGAGCTGAGGAACGTCTTCACGCTCGAGGCTGGAGGCACCGGACAGGTCCCTGTTGAATCCACAGCAGCGCTCTCGGGAAGTTTCTACATTACCAACGTTCTTCCATCCAGTATAGCCGAGTTCCAGCTCAATTCCGGCCACTCCGGAGACACCGACTTTTATGGTATCAGGTTCTCTCGCGGGAGCGTCCCCCTCGCCATCTCCCCGACCGCGGCCGGGTGTAAGTCTATCACTGCTCCCTGTCCAAGCGGTGGCGATTACATTATCATGTCTAGTCCATAAGAAAAAAAAAATTTACTTTGTGTGGCCGACCGCTTCCAGGAAGTTGAAAGAAGAAGTCCCGGAGTTCATCGTCGTCGTGAAAAGCGAGAGCTTACAAGGCATCAGGCCGGATGGCTGCTGAGGAGACCGACTGTGGCCGCGGAGGCAGCGGCTAGCTATCTTCCGACTTTGCAGCTGAAACATAGTAAGACAAGCTCAGAAGAATGTAAACGCCAGACTTATAGTCTCGGGAACGTTTTGCCCCTGGAAGTAGATCGTCTTGGTTCTCATTTAGTTGCGTTTTACACTGGCGAGAAGGCAAGCCTCAAAAAGGAGAGGAATGCACAGAATCGATTTCCACTGGGCTTGTGAGGACCAGCACTTGGTCATTCCGGCGGCAGATTCTTGGAGCCTTTGAAACCCCGCAGTTTTTTTTTTGGGCTTTAAGAATATTATTTGTTTTGTGCTTTTATAATGGTCTAGATTTTATTATAATTTATTTTAATGGAATAAAAAAAATCTTATCCAAAAAATAAAATCTTATTATCACACATAATTGTTAATATTTTTAATCTATTATCAAGTTGTCACTCCCACTTGTGAGAGACAAATAACCTTCTCAACTTTTCAAGTAATATTTACAGGATCATCTTCTGGGATAGCTCTTTAGGCTGCCCCACTTCTATCTTACTAAAGTAGCAACAATCTTGCAAAAAGAGATTTTTTATAGCAGCTCTTAAGTATTTTCCACTATTTTGTTATATTTGAGTCATGCTTTATTCTTGTATTGTTTTCTTTATAATTAAAGTTTATTGTCATGGTAATAATACATGGTTTTAGGCCAGCTAGAGGCACATAATGCAATGGATGCCAATGGAAACTTTTTTACACTCTTGTCTTTTTAATTTTCAGTCTTGGTAGTGTAGATAGAAATTAAAAGGTAGAATTACTATTGTGGGTTAATATTCTCAGTTGAAACATCTAATTGAGAAAGTTGTTGAGATCAGAGAGCTTATCAGTAATACTCTTTGTCAACAACAAAGATTATAAAGGAGGATAATGCATAATAGTCTTAATGCTTTTTAATATTCTTAGTGTAATAATAAATCAACAGCCAATCAACATGCAAAGCTCAAGATTCATTCCTTATCAAAACACAACTCACACAAATAGATAAATTGTATGAGTTCACTACGTGATTGAAGACATGCTAAGATGCATTGTTTATAGGCAAGAAGGATAATAGGATAAGTTAAAGTTTTTTTATAATAATAGCTAGCATAGTGGCATCAAAATGACACTTTACTTTGCAATGCTGTCATTGAAAAATAGCTTTTGAGTATAGTTTATGAAAATTTTAGATGGATGGCATGGCAAAGAATTTATCCATAAAATTGGATGAAAAATGAAAGAGGAACTTGAAAGTGGCTTAAAATTGTAACCATCATATTCTTAAGAGATGAGAGAAGTGATAAGTTATCTCCTAAATACTCTGATCCCTATAAAATCTTGGAAAAATCAATGAAGTGGCTTATTAAGTGAAGTTGTCAAGTGGGGGGTGAAAGTACACCCAATTTTTCATGTTAGGAATATCCCTATTACTTAACTTGATCAAAGCTTCTCTGGCAAACCAAATTAGGGAAAGACACACTCAAGATATACTATAGCTAAATTCACACTCTCTTCCACCTTTTTCACAGAAAAGAGGAATCAACTTTACAAATTTGGTTAAATGATCTATAATTATTTTATGAGTTTTTATCAAATGCATAATAAATTTTATAGATATACTCATCAGGATAAGCAATGGCACTAAAAGCCCCATTAACTTTTCCTTTTGCACTTTCACTTGTTGATAATTTTTGCATATCTTGCAATATTTAAGAATGTCATTTTCATCTTCTTCTAAAAAAATTTGTGCCTAATCAACTTGTAAGTCTTCCTCCCCCCAAAATGACCAACCTTTTGGTAGTCATGATAATAATAGAGGATATGGTTTATCAGCTTGTCAACTTTAAAAAGATATACTTAATTATTATACAAAAGCAAGTTATTATGGCATGAGAAGGGTAGCTCCATCTGCACACTAAGCTTTTGTAGCTTAACATCCTATTGCTAAATTTGCCTAACAATGCTAATAAATTTAATCACAGCCTTTGTTAAAACATGACAAATCCTTTCTTAGAAGTCTTCTCAATAGTAGAGCATATGTGAGACAAAACATCAACTACGATATTTATACATTCAGCCTTGTGCTCAATTGGAAATTCACCAAACTCTATAAGTTTGATCATTTATTGTGCATGGCAAGAGTTGAACTCCTTAAAGGTGAATAAAAACACTAATGACTTTTATAAATGCAACACCAAATAAATAATATTGCCACACTTGTACCATATTAACAATAACTAAAAGCTTTTATTCATATATAGAGCATTGCTACTCAATTGAGTTTAATATTATGTAATAGGATGATTGTTATGTATAACAACACCACTTGTATATAAAGTAAATTCCTCATGGATGTTTAAACTATGGAAGAAGGGATAGAGCCAAAGCCCCAAAAAGTGTAATTGATCACCATGTAGGTAAGAACATTTTTGTTAAGGGGAGGAATTAATCTATGTAGCTTAAATGATAACTAAGTTAAGTTTAGTCAGTTTATTTTAAATCCATGGTTAATTCAATATTGGAGTGAACTTGGTCACAACTATGAATAGTGGTGTAGAGGGGGTGGTTGGGTGGTGATTTGTGTTAGTATGGTCTAAGTTCTAACATTTTCAAAGGGAAAAAAATGAAGAACAAACTAGAGCTAGATTGAATCCTCAATTTAAATTTCATCCTGGTGCTAAAAAGTAGGGTTTTTTGCTAATTAAATTTAAATCTCTAAATTTATATATTAAACTGGAATACGGCCTTCGAAACTTGAAAGCTTTGTTCTTGCAATATGTTCCACTCAAAATGAGTGTTCTAACAAAGCAATATTTTAAACAACAAGAAAGTCAAGGATAAAATTCTCATGTTACATGTAGACAACATCTTGGATAAACTTGGTGAAGTTAAAGTCTTTACCAAGATTGATTTGCAAAGTGATTATCATTAAATTATTCTGAATTATATAAATATCACAAAGTGAACTTTCTTTATGAGTTTTAAGCATTTTGAATTTACAATGATGCCATTTGAACTTATGAATGCATTAGTGAAATTTACAAGGCTCATTATTTACACGTTTGAGTGATTTTGTGGAAATCCTTTTTGATGATATTCTTATCTTTAGTAAAAATATGATGTAATATAGATGACATTTATGCAAAGTGTTGGAGTTGCTCCACAAGCATAAGCTTTATGCTAAGAGGAGTTTGTGCAATCTAAATATGAGTATTTAAATTATATTATCTCTACTGAAAGAGTCAAAATTAATCCATGAAATATTGTTAATATGGAAGAATGGCTAACACTAACAAATGTTGTTACTATATGCTACATGTTATATGCAGTGACACCTCTCCAGGTTTAGAGCCCTTAGCAATTAATCTCAAGTGCATAGAAATCTTGGATAGCTCAAATGGTAGATTCATATTAAATTGTCTTAGTGCTCTAAATAGAGATTTACTTGGGTGGATAAAGTTATATTTAAGCAACTCAATAACATAATGTTTAATCTGCTTCCTCAGCATGACTTAACTGAAATAGTTGTTAATAGATTCACTTTTGACCTAGCTCTAGCCCAACTCAACTCTATAAAAAGGTGGTAACTTATGTGGTAAATCAGTTGGGAACATATATATTAATTCCTTATGTTTTTCCTCCACCATTGATTCTCCACACAAATACTATGATATATATATATATATATATATATATATATATATATATATATATATATATATATATATATATATATATAAAACAAAACTCATTCTCTTTATTGTGCAGAACACTTTTCAAAGACATCTTTTAGTCAAGCTTAGAACATTGCTTCCAAACTAAATATCACATATACCACCATACTTGAGCTTTATGCATTGAATTTAGGCTTTAATTGATCTCAGGATCAACACACATGTGCCATGACATGCCAAGGATCATGTTAACATGACACAAGTCCACAGAAAGAAATCCTCAACCATGATAATCCAACTTTCACCAATAAATTCTGCACTACACTATCCCATTGGTTCTTGGTGGTAGCTTTAGAAATTCCATATAGAATCAATCCCTTAACCAACTTCCTTGAGACAAAGTTGTCAAAACTACCAAAATACACACTAGATAATCTCCTTATAATCCCTCTACTTAAATCACGTAGAGTTCCGAAGCCAAGTCTATAGGATCATCACTTTAAATCTAATTAAGTGTAGAGACAATCATGTATACATACTTTTTGCATGGATTGTCCTAATGTTGAACTTTCTTCCTACTCAAAGTTCCAACACCCATGTTAAAATGGTCATTTTTATTCTTTAGTAGAGGATAATCCACTTTCCAGTGCCCTCCTCACCACACTTGTTGCAATAATTATTCATTTTCTTCGTGTCCCCCACTTTTCTCCTAAAAGGAAAGTTCAAACCTCTAGGAAGGAGCAAAGACTAATGAGCTATATAATACTTAAGTGGGACACCATTTCACTTGAATTGAAACATTACAGTTAGTTTCCCTTCTGGGATTGAAAGCTTAAAATTTAGTGGATGAGAGCAAGACATGTCCACATAATAAGAAAGGCAAGTATACAAGACAAAACTAGTGGCAGTATGGGAAAGTCATTTCACTTGAAATCCTGTGCAAAATGTGGCAATAGCAATAATGGTAAGCCAATGGCAAGGGAGTAAAAGTACATATATCAGGCTGTTAACCCATGGTGTTTCACCCTGTGGTCCCAAAGCAAAAGATGCATCCAAAGCTTGGGATTTAGAAGGTCCTATGATCAAGTTTTATTATACTAAAAGAGGTTAAAAACTTAGAGGTTTGGTGTGTTTAGCTACTTGCGCCTACATGGAGTATAGTTAAACTTTAAATTTAATTTAACTTGGAGAGGGGGATTATGAGAGAATTTAAGAATTTCTGGATGGATGGCTACCAGTCCATTATTCATATAATGAGTAGTAAAAACCAAGTAGGACTAGGTAAAAGTTGGTATGATAAACGAGAATCTTAACAAGGGAACTTAACCAAGGTTAAAGTAGTGGTGGTCAGATAAACAAGGTAAGCTAACAAATTGAAAAGTAAAAATTTATAACTTACAAAAAGACCATTAATGATAGCATATAATTGATTTTAAGTGTTTTTAAAATTATTTTGAGGCCATCTATTATTTTGGGTGATTGTTCTACAAGATTAGTGATACTAAGAAATCAATTCTAATTAATTCATTCTAAAAAATATTCTTTCTTATAGAACATGGTTAAGATAGTCTTAAATTCAAATACCTTGGAAAAAAATACTCAAAATTTTTAATCTCTACTTTTGGATTGCTTCCCCTCATCCTTATTCTTTCATCAAATAATTTAAATATCAATAAATATAAGAATGTGATACTTTCTTCCTGACATCTGACCACACTAACAAAACTAATTCATGTAGCATCTTCATAAGGACTAGTGCAAAGAGTAAGAATAAAAATTATGCATAAACAAACATAATTAAATCTAGCTTTACCTGTTGATGATGGCAGCCATAATTATTTGGATTGGTTTCGTGTGTTGACTAGCATAGACAATGTACAAGCCCTTAGTAAACAAGAATGATCTTTTTATATATAAGAAACCGGTTTGTATCTCTTCTCCAATTTGAGCAACTCAAGATCCATGGGTGATCATGTGAAGTTGGTCTTAGTGAATTGGTAGATCAAAAGGATTTAGTGTTGCTGTGATAAAATAATTTATAGGTTGTGCACACTAAAAGTTACACGACAAACTATATAAAATACTAAAATATTTCCCTATTATACTGTTATGAAGAACTACACTAGCTGAGTCTTAAAGTAGTTTTAACTTGAAGAAACTAATTTCCTTCTCTCTTCAAACCTCCATTGTTTATACTACCCTCTAAATGCTTATTTAGAAGAAGTGTTAAACACTTCTTGATTGTTATTTTGATAAGCTGGCTGGAAGAAGTAAGATTGCCTTTCAATGATGGAGATTTCCTGGAAGACTATAGAGAATTGGGTTTGGAGGGAAATCATTTAGGATTGGGCTTAGAGGGTTGATATGCAATAATATTAATCTTTTGTTTATAAACTATAAACATGTTTATAATTATAAATTTTGATTAATAATTAATACTAAATAACACTATTTATAGTATCTTAATTTTATTTTATTGTATTTCTTTTGAGCGTTCCTTGAGACATATGAAATACCTCTCAACCTTATTGTGCTTGTAACACTCAGACTCAGCAGCCTTGTGTTTGATGGCACTTGCCCATCAAGAACTCTTGATGGCCGTGGCCATGGAGAACTCCACATTGGCTGTAGATGAAGACTGTGCTTGAAATCATATATTAAAGAAGTGAAGTTGTCTGGAAATAGTTGATGAACCAGAGTGGTCTCAACTACGCCTTGAACTTGATTGCCAGGATGACTCCGTCTTAAACTTGATGGCTGCAAAAGATGACTCTGTCTTGAGATTGATCAAGAAAGGTTTACAAAAAAAATTAAAAAATACTAACCTGACCTTCCTAGGTTCCATTGCATCATGGGATAGCCACCCTTCTCCAAGATCTAGCCGAGAAGAAAAGAAAAAAGATGGTAAGGAAAGTCACAGAAAGAATAGATCATGTTTACCACCATGGCTGAGAAGAAGGGATTTCTTCCTGTGGCATCCATGGCAAAACCTTGTGATTGCTTGCTGGTTCTCGTTTTGATTCGTCCAGTAGGACCTTGGACCCCCATTGCCGCGAGCCACAATACGAGCTTTGCTTTTGCCAGAATGAAAATGCTATTGCTGGCACTTGGGCGAGGGATAGCAGTCACTTGTGGCATAATGTACCCCAGTCCCAGCCCCGAATGCTGCTGCTCCTGCTGTGGAGAGCAGGAGCTCCACAAGGAGATTGCTGCTGCTCCTGCTGTGGAGAGCAGGAGCTCCACGAGGAGATTGCTGCTGCTAGAATCGAGAGGAAACAACGATCGATCTCTCCCCACCCGCAGCCGCACTATCGATCTCTCCACGTCGCTGAAATCCTGCTTTCTCAGTGCCAGGCTTGGCTGAGAAGGAAACACACATAGTAAGCTATTCAAGAAACTCTAGCTCTAATGGAACTCCCAGCGCAACAGACTACGTCCAAACCTAAGGAAGCATTATATTAGTTAAACTTATTTAATTAACTAACCATGTCTGACATTTCTATAGCTCCTAAAATAAGACCACATGCTGCTGGGCCATACATTGGGTCAAATCTATCATTTCAGAGTGTGAAAGTCTGGGAGTGAGAAAAAACTTTCCACATATGTACTCGAGGAATCGCACGCTTGCACGGTATAGCGAGGAGGCGGGGACGATTCGATCTGCCAACTGGATGTGGGATATCATATGCAATTTTCTGATGCCCGGAGTTTCCCGGAACTTCAATTCACCACTACCGCTGGCGGAAAATTAATAGCGCCCTCCAAACCTTCGCACGCCTGTCGGGGTCAAGCCTCGCATACTTCCTCCAGAGAAAGTCTGCGAGTACGTACTCAAGGAAATAGACGCTTGGTAGAACGATTGGAGGTGAGTTGAGGATGTGGCATATGCCATTTTCTGATGCCGTCTACGCCTATACTTCTCGGAACGTCAAACCACCACCTTCTCGCAAGTGCGTTTGTTTTGCTATATATTTGAGGATTTTGGGACTTAACTCTTTTCTTTTCTGACCTATAAAAGATTCCATGACCTGATGATCCTTTGAAGAAGGAATTCTTCTTGTGCTGGTGATTCTTCTTCTCTCCTTTTTCCTTCTCTTTGTTCGCTGCAGCAGCGGAATGTCTCGTGCATGCTTCACTCGTTCACTCCCAGTTCTCGGCTAGAAAATGTTGACACTAAAACGAGTTTTACCGTTTTGGAAAACATCTTCTTCCTCCATTTTTTTCCTCCTCTTCCTTTTCGTGATCTTCGCTCACACACGGCTTATATGGAAGATCACGCTCTAGACGTCGAGAGGCTCGGCGCTTGTTTGCGCTAATCCCATTTCCAGAAGAATGGAACCAGCTTGTCGCTGCTCATCAAAAACCAGTTTTTCCATCTTCCCAATTGATCAGCGGCAGCAGCAGCACCATCACCAGGATCACTCACCATCGCCACCATTGCTAAAATCCCAGCAGGACGAATGTAGAATCTGCCTAGAGGAAGACGAGGCTGGGAATCTCGAAATCCCGTGCTCTTGCTGCGGCAGCTTGAAAGTATGTTCTTCGTGCCGGCTGAGAGTTCTAAGCAAGTTTCTGGTTTTGGCAGTATGCTCATCGAAAGTGTGTGCAGTGCTGGTGCAACGAAAAAGGGGACACCATCTGCGAGATTTGTCAGCAGGTAGCATCATCCGCACTGAACTTATGATTTACCTTGCTCGTGTTCGCTGATTCCGATCACGTTTTCTTTTCTTTTTCTCGGTGTCCTGTTTTGCAGCCTTTTAAAGGCTACACAGAGCCAGTCCGTCCTGCCGCTCCTGTTGCTCTCCCCGATGACCACTCCAGGTATGTAGCGTCAGTCAGCCATCTTCTGTGAAGCGAAGGTGCTAAAGTACCTTCCATCGTTTTGTTTCTTGGCAGGAACGTCGAATGGAGAAGCCACTATCAGCTTGATCCTCGAATCATGGCAATGGCTGCCGAGCGTAACTTCATCCAGGAAATCGATGACTACGCGGCTGCAAATGCTTCCGGAGCTGCCTGTTGCCGTTCTACTGCAGTCATCGTAAGTACACTCGCATTAGTTCTTGTGTTTTTTTCCGAATGACAAGAGCTTTTACCTCGGGTCTCAGTTGATGGCACTGCTGCTACTTCGTCTCACGCTGGCTCTTGGTGCCGCCGGGAGCGACGGCGACGCCTCCACTTTCTTTACGGTAGCGTTTAAACTCGGATAGATGTCTCCTGGTTTGTTGAGACTTTGATTTTGTCCAGCTCTTCTTTTTCGGCGCCGCAGGATTTCTTCTGCCTTGTTACATAATGGCTCGAGCGATGAACATCTTGCGGCGACGGCGGCAGCAACAGCTTGGTGACCCTTGTGTGGAAATCCACGTTCGCACTTAAGTTGGGAAGTGTCATAACTCTCAGGAATGGAGCTCTACCTCGGCTGCCAGAAGCCTCCAAATTCTCGATCCATCACCATCTCAGTCGCATCGTATTCCATTTCTCAACTTGCTTGCATCTGCCCGGGGATGAAAAGGTTTTGGCGAACATGTAAAGAAGAAAAACATGAAAGAGGTTGATCTATGGCTCTTGACTATTCTACCATCTCTCAGATCTGGCCAGATTTGGACACCACCATCAATCTATTAGAACTTTTGTACTTACGCGCAAATACGTACCTGCGCTGGTACGTACCTACGTACTTGAGAGTACATACCTACTCTCATGTTCATTCTAAGTACCGCTTTGACTGAATCTATCACGTTTGGTCCACCGGTTCTTTTGGAGTTGCTAATTGCCTTCCCTGGAATTCATCCGAAGTCATTACTATGTAATATTTGAAGGTTTCATTTTGTAACCTCTCTGAAATTGTTATATCGTGAACAGGTCAATTTGAATGAAGATGAGGGACGTAGTACGTTGTCCCTCACGGCCGTCGATTTGGACACTACTTCCAGCAGTGACAATGAGAATGATGATGTACCACAGGTAAGAAAGTAATCCCACAATTCTGTTACTATCTTGCAGGCCTTTCATAGTTTCTTGGAATCCGTAGGATTTGCTACTCCGGCTGCCTTTGCAACTAGGCTCCAACTGAAAATTCTGGAGACCAAGACCACTAGTTACCTGGTAAATTATCTTCAAAAAACGAGACCAACCCTGTACAAATTCCTTAGAAAATAACAGACCAACCTCAAAGAGGACAAGCAGGATTTAGTTCTAGAGGTGAACTACCGGTTAGGGACAAAGGCTTCTAAAGCGTCTAATGTCACACAAGTTACTGTGTTCCACTTAAGACAGTACTTCATGCACTCACAATGGCTTCACATGGAAGACGGAGTACACTGGAAGAGCAATCCCTCCTGATGCATATACGGGAATTCCTGGCAAAACAAGTTAAGTTTTACAAGGTGGGAGCTTAGTTTAAGGTACCCAGAGCCATTAGAGGAGGAAGGCAGGACTAAGGACCTATCATAAACCAGGAAATTACGGCAGCACCAGAAACAAGAAGTTTGGAAAGAAGATAGATGATGTTGAGATTTATGAATACCAGTAAACCATTAACAGCTCTTCAACTGAGTTGTGACTTATATCGACTATGTCTAGATGTTGTGGTGTTTGCACAAGAGTGGCATGAGTATGGGAATGTTTGGCACAAAGTATTCATGCAGCTCTGCTTTCATCTCTGGCCCATGGTGCAAGCAAAGAACCAGGAATTAGAATTTGCTAAATGATCTCGAGCATAGTTCCAGTCCACAAAACTAGCGATCCCATGCTCCCAACCAACCACAGTATAATGGTGAGTAGTAGCTTTTCAAAGCTCTACCCATACATGCTAGAACGAAGACTTTCGTGGTGGTTAGAAGAGCTCCAAATACGTGCATGGGAACAAGTTGGCTTTAAAACAAAGTTGGCAAACTATGGCAGTTTCTTTTAGCTTTCTAATGTTTGGAGTAATTTTTTAAAAATAATAAAATACACCTTTTTTTGTTGATTTGCCCTGCTCCCAGGGGGAGGGGGAGGGGGTGCTTAAGGATCTCTTCAACAGGCTGTAGCATGCATAAAAAATCCTGTGCATAGTTACAAACACTAATGAACATGAGTTTTAGATTTTCAAGAACCTAACTATAGAACATGATCACGGCTTACAAATATTCTAGTGAATATTCTAAGAATATTTATTTTTAATTCTAGGAATGCTACTTTTTATTATATATAAACTACTCAAACATCCTATAAATAATCATTATCTTCAACATCATCTCAATCTTCCTCTTCCTCTCTTGATTCAAGTTTGTCTTCCAAATAAGGAATTGTCTCTAATACTTTGTAGCTCCACAAATCTCTCCATTGAGGATGATGAACATGCTTGACTTAGAACTTGAATGGTCAACTTTTGAAGCGCTAGAATTTCATAACCATAGTCCTCCCACTAACATACATCTCCCTTCTTAGTGTGATAAACCTTAGCATCAGTCAAGTTGAAAATGCTTCCTATCCTTTTGTAAGTTAAAAGTTTATCCTATATCACATCCTTCTCACTAGATGTAAACATGGGTAACAGATAAGCATTTCAATCCTTCATGACTTCTTTGTGAGCATGCTTTTCATGGTCTTAAACTTGGGGTCCAATATATATCCCACCAAGTGCATGAGCGAGTGATACTCATGCCACCAATTAAACATGATCTAATGAAGTTCTTTATATTTGCTATAATCTGATTGTCCTTCCTCTAAATTTGCATCTAACCTATTCATACACTTATATATTTTTCCAATTGCAAGTATATCACCATCCACAAGATGAAGTAGCAGCATAGCATCCTCAGGTACCTCTAATATGTCCTTAACTTGTTCCCAAAAATGGTTATCAAATATAGTTATATAATTGTCTCTGCCAACTCTTGCTTTCAACTTAGGTCTTGCTCTATACACAGAGCATACGAACATCTATTGTAGAGCTTCTCGAAGCTCCACTAGCCTCTTTATCATAATGAGGTTGTAGCCAAACCTTGTATCACTATAACACAACATTCGCTTATGATAATTCCATACAGCACGGACCAGGCTCAGTTGCAAAAGACCCTGTATGCCTCTTTTCTTCTTTTTCTTCTTCCTCTTTTTTTTTCTCTCCCTTCTTTTTTTCTCTTTTTTCTCTCCTTTCTTTTTTTTTCT